ATCCGTCATTAAACCGCGAGACAAATTTATTAAGCCTACTTTCATTTGCAAAATGTTTACTGTAGCACCACATTATCAAATCATGGAGCAATTAGGTTCAAAAGATTTATCTCGTAAATTAGTCGCAATATGTATAGTTAGTAATTTTTTAGCCTATATTTAATACTTCATGCAAGCCTAAGAAAAATGTGTTCGGAACTTATAGTTCTCAACCCTCTTTCTTGTTTTCCGCGCGCACCGCTTTTCAAATTTCTAAACGGTGTGGTTTTTGTAAAAAAAAAGTTTATATAGAAAGTTGCTTTAAAAAATCAAATTAATCCATTTTATAAAAAAATAACTAATACTTAATTAATTACGTGTTAATGGACTGCTCCGTTTTCCGTGCAGGAAGATGGGTTCCCAACCTCCAAGTAACTAACACAGCCTAAGAGCAAGTTTAATAGTATAGCTCACTATTAGCTCTAATTCATCTACAACCGATCTAATAGCCAATTCACACAATAGTTGCTTACTATACTATTAATATATAGTCCCACATGTCATACGTACATTGCGTTTTAAAGTTCGTGCTACAGCTGGCTACAGATATATAGTCCGCTGCTTTTTTATCTCATCTTTTATCTTATTAAAATATATTTATAGCTGGTTTATAATCTGCTATTGTAGATGCTCTAAGCAGTTTTGCGCCGCCCCCGGGCCGGTCGAATCTGTGAGGAATACCACCGCATCTGAATGCATGCATGCATGCATGCATATGCCTGCACCTGCAGCATGCATGGCATGCGTGCGCCGATCGATGCAGGTGCAGTGCAGGTACGTGTGTGCAGCGCTGCGGCACGTGGTGGGCGGTGGCCTCGCTCGCTCGCTCGCACGAATGCACCCGCGCGCGCATCGCATTGCACGATGGATCGCGCGCGGTACAACGCGTTGGGGCCAAAAACCCAAACCCAAGAAGTACCCAACCCACAGCAGCACAGCTACGTTCATTTGCGATGCGCGCCCTGCACTACACGTACATGTACACACACAGTGACACGCACAGGGAGAAAGAAAATCAGATGAGAGGAGGAGATGACGAAGTACCACTAGAGCACAGCTCCAGTTCGAGCTCTACCTCTTCTGGAGTTGGAGCTCAGCCAAACAAGTTCATCTTAACTAAAAAGAAAGCGGAGCTGGGTGAAGCTCTCTCACAAAATGAACTACTCCACTACAAACCCAACTCCTAAAGCTAAATTTAGGAGTTGGAGCTAAATTTAGTACTACCACGCGCCATGCAAGATTTCATCTCACACGTCAAAATCGTTGTAGCTAACGCATTATTCCAAATATATTATACTACCCCGTAAAAAAAACAAACCCTAGCTACGAATTTAGACACACATATATTAAAGCTCATAGTTAGGATTAAATTTTTTTAAGACAGAGAAGGTATATGCTTAATTTGCTTTCGGTTTGGCCCTGCCTCACACGACAGACACGCATGATCATTGGGATAATATTATTGTTGGAAACCTTCGCACTGCTACATCCGTCACATAATGAGTTAATCTAATACTGATATGATATGCCACGTTCAATACTACGATTAACTTATTTTGTGATAGAGGGAATACCTCTCGCTCTCTGTCCCACGTAACAAGTTTAGGAGGAACACAAAAATAGTAAGGGAAGTCCCAACCAGAAATGGTCAAAAACATGTAATAAATCAGTCTATATATATACTATGACAGCAAACCAAGAGTTAGAAAATGCACCACACGGTATGTAAACCATCTATCCTCTCGAACTAGTCGTGCCAATTGCCATGGAGATAATAAATAATGTATAGAAGGTTGGTATCGAATTATTGTCTGAATAGCGGATTATGGATAGTGGACGCTAAATTCCAATAGCATAATTTCAAGAAATTACCATAAATTTAGATTGTATATCAATACTAAAATTAAGTTTCACTTAAGATTTAGAATACATACATACTTACTCTTACAAAGATTAAAAATGTGCACACGATTCTAAGTTCCACTATCGATATGTGAAGAACAGTTATAGCAGCTCAACAAAGTTAATAGCAAAAGCTACTATAACGATCTCATCGCTAAGTTACAACACGCTATTCTTAGTCCTATCATATAACGGTATTGGTAGTGGCGGTATGTCACTGCTACTGCAGCTGTCTATGGACGCTATGTAATACTTCATCCGTTTCACAATGTAAGTCATTCTAGTATTTTGCACATTTATATAGTGATTTTAATGAATCTAGACATATACATCATTATAAATGTGAGAAATGCTATAATGACTTACATCGTGAAACGGATGGAGTAGTAGTATAGTTTGATTGCCATGCTACCGAGCGGGCGCCACGCATATTCGTACAGCTGATGAGAGCTCGGCAGCCAGCCGGCAAGGGGATCGTGGCCGTGCGACGCCGGTGCGCGCGGCAAGGAGGAGGCCGGGCGACTGTGAAGCAGACCAGACCAGACTAGACAGGGGAGGACGTACGTACGTCGTACGTACTACATGCCCTGCAGCAGTTCACAAGATTCCTCTTCAGGGCCCGGATCGGAGTATGCAGAGCACAACTCACCGTACAGTTGCTCCACGCCGAGAAAAGCATCTCTCGATCATCTCCGTCCCGGCCATGTGCCTGACCATGGCCGCCACACTATTTTCTCTAGGTAGGAGTACCTGGCCTGTGCCGCCACTACAACTCCAGGCAACTGCAGCCACCACACATTCGTGCTTTTAGTTCCAAACTTTTTCTTTAAACTTCTAACTTTTTCATCATATCAAGGCTATGTTTAGTTCACACTAAATTGAAAGTTTGGTTGAAATTGAAACGATATGACAGAAAAATTTAAAGTTTGTGTGTGTAGAAAAGTTTTGATGTGATGGAAAAGCTAGAAGTTTGAAGAATAACTTTGAAACTAAACACGGCACAAATTTACATAGTTTCATTTTCAACCAAACTTATAATTTTAACGTGAAACACATCCTTATTGTGAGCCTACGTGCACTACTAGCAGGAGTATCACAGACTCACAGTATCAAGAAAAATGGCTTGACGGAACGACGGTTGTTAAGTGAATTCTCCGTACTAGTTGTACTCTGGATGGTCAGATCGATCGATGAACAAGAGCGGCAGCAGCAGGGAGCACGTTAAATCGAGATCTAGACACGCAAAGCGAGGAAGATTGTCGCGGCCGGAAACAGCACATTCACAAAACCCTGTGTGAAAAGACGCGGATGCGATTTTTCTTTCTCTTTCGGTATTGTGGGTGCACAAAGTTTCATGCTTGCTCGCTGTTCGCCACGTACGCGACCCGGATCCTCTGCGTCTGTTTCCATTCGGTCTATTTTCTGTTCCTCTTCGGTGGCCTTTCTACGGATATGCACTGCATTTCTATATATTCTGGGATGATGATCTCGAGAGAAAAATAAATAAATAAAGGAACAAGCTTTGATTAACAGAAATGCATGAAATGTATTGCCTGTCTTTCACTTAAAAAAAAACCCTTCAAAGTTCAAAATATCCCCTTTTCTGCCAATGGAAATGCACATCTTTTGTGTTGGTAGCAATTAGCATAACCATTTGCACCCTTCTAGACAGACTGCACAACACGACTTCTTGAAGCTTTGAGCAGCAAAGGCACTTATTTACCTTTCTCTTCTTTTGGTGCCTTCTAGTAAATCCATAGTCCGAAAGTGCCGGCTCGTCTACACCCACCAGTACTCCTAGATTATTGATACAGAAAGGCAATCGAGCGAGCTGAAACTCTGAAAGCCTTTCTGAAACTAACTTGTGTCGCGATCTGTTCGTCTCCTTGCAACCTCTGAATCACATGAACACCACTGCAGCTATCTGCTTGCTGCCTGAACCTGATGAGAGAAGAAAAAGTGCTGAAGAGAGGTAAACCAAGTAGTAGGTCATGTGACCTTGTGTTCATTCAAGCTCAGTAACTTTCTGTTTACAGCTGCTACAAAAGGCCTTTATAGCTCACAGTTACAGCCCCCTGCAGTGTTTGACGCAGAGCTTTGACTTGACCGCATCTTGATTCAGATGGCCGTACTCTGCCTCTACTCAACACGGGTGTTGTCCTGATGTTGTCTGAATTCTCTGGAAAAGGGTCGAGGAGTAATTAAAACTGGATCTCCTGGAGGCCAGCTTGAGTGACCACAAAACATGAGTAATTAAAGCTGCATTGGTTTCTTCAGGCATAACTGTACTGTATTTTGTGACATTTTGGAGCTGTAGTATAAAGTTTCATGCGTGGTCTGAATTGTTCTAGCTTTAATCTTTATGATGAGAAACTTAAGCCTTAAGGTCGTCGCACATGCGTGATTTATTTAACTGAAAAGAAATCTAAAGGCACGTTTGTTTGCTTGGCTTCAATAGCATAACTTTGAGGTTTTATAAGGTTGCAGATGTGTTCAGATTCAGTCAGTCAGAAGTTCAGAAAAGGGTGGCTTTGGAGATTCAGAAAACAAAAGGCACTCATGTGCTACGAGGTAGAAAACCGTTGCAGCATTGGTACGAACCAAATTCAAATTCAGTGCAAAGTTGGAACAAACAAGACACAAACTGAATGTAACCTGCAGAATACTACTCCGTACTCAGTACTGTCAAGAACTCATTCAAAAAAAAAAAGAAAAGTAAGCGTCATGGACATGCTAAGCCCAATTGTTGGATGGCCCATCCAATTCAGTGCAGTCCATGATAGTAGTTGGGCCGAGCCGAGTCCATTTTACAACCCCGAGCACTGGTGGGGCCCACTCCAACGGGAAACTCACTGGGCCCCGCCCACCACCCCGCATCTCCCGACCGACAATCCGGCCCCACCATCCAGACACCCACCGTGCGGACACAAGCCCATGCAACACGGCAAGCACTAGTCCGTCCGTGTGGCTGACATCCCGGGCCCACACACCCGGCGCCTCGTCGAGGCGCATCTGTTGCCGAGTCAAAGGTGACCGTTGCCAACGGCCGGTGCAAGAAGAGAAAGAGAGAGAGAAAAAAAAAGAAACAAAACCCGAAGCCCCCATCTCTTCCTCTTCCCACCTTCGCATTCGCCTCCGCCTTCGCCTTCGCACGCAGTAGTAGTAGTCCACGATGATGGCCACCGCGGGGTCCAAGTCGCCGGGGCGCGCGCTGAGGAGGATCGCCGGCGCGGCCGTCGCCGCCGTGCTGCTCCGCGGCTCGTTCAGCGCATCCAAATGGTTCTTTTCTTCTTCTTTTAGTACTTTTTTCTTCTTCTTTTAGTGTGGTGGTGAGGTGATTGTGGGTTGGTTTGGATGTGGGCAGCAAGACGGAGGCGAGGATGGCAGCGGCGAGGATGAAGCTGCTGCGGAACCGGCGGGAGGCGCAGGTGCACCAGATGCGGCGCGACATCGCCGCGCTCCTCCGCGACCGCCAGGAGGACACCGCCCGGATCAGGGTAAAGGATCGTTTCTTGTTTCGGCGTTGTCCTCCAAATGTGGTTGCGTTCTGATGTTCCGATTAGTCTTTAGGGGGATTTGCTTTGATTGGCATGCTTGCTCCATTTGGGATTTGGGAGGAGTTGAGCTAGGGCTTGGGGAACAGGAGACTTTCAGAGTTGGAGAGTTTCTTGGCTGCGGATTTCTGCGAATCAGAAACTATGATTATGTTCCATTGCTAAACTCGTGGTAAAAAGGGCAAGGAAGGTTATTTTGGCGTATAATGATGAGTTCAGTCATTTCATTTGGACAAAATGAGGAAACAAATTAATAAGTTGGTATCTTCAATGTGGAAGAGATTGACTGCCATAAATCTGACGTTTCCTCATTTACTTAGCAGTTATTCAATTCAGATAAGGAAACTTCTTCAATACGCTTTAATTCCAAAGTAATTGGATACTGTTAATAGCAGGTTTTCCTATGCAGTAGGATCCTACAGTAAAACTGTTCTTTGACCTCTGAACTGTTAATCAGTTTTCACCTTTCATGTTTAGCTCTTCAGATTTCGAATATAGGGAACTTATGGACAGATAAGTACATAAGGTTTCTCTGTGATATTTACCGTTGCAGATTGGAATATGTGCATGGTATTTCTTGAGTGAAAAAACAACATGCTTATGATGCTGATCATATTTCTCATGAAGCTATTTTTGGGCTTTTTACAGGTTGAGCATGTCATTAGAGAACAGAACATTATGGCAGCGAATGAGATCATTGATCTTTTCTGTGAGCTGATTGTTACACGCCTTCCCATCATTGCAAAGCAGAAGTTTGTACTTTGGAACTTGCTTGTGTTATCAATTTTGCATGTTCTGAAAACTGGGTTGTAATTGTGTGCTGTATCGCTGTCAAACCTTTTCTTTAGGGAATGCCCAGCAGACTTGAAAGAAGGTATCTGCAGTTTGATTTTTGCCGCCCCAAGGTGCTCAGAACTCCCTGAACTCGGTCGGATCCGCGATCTTTTTGAAAAGAAGTATGGCAAAGATTTTGTTTCTGCTGCAGTTGACCTACGGCCAGATGCTTGTGTTAATAACCTTGTAAGTTTCAACATTTATGTTGTTCACAATCCGTCAATTGTGACTGTTGCATGTACTATCTTCTCAAATGTTAACTTTCTGTCCTTCTGAAGCTAATTGAGAAGCTATCAGTTAAGAAGCCATCTGGGCAAACTAAGCTGAAGATTCTCAAGGAGATTGCGAAGGAGCATCAGATCGATTGGGATATGACCGAGACTGAGCAGGAGCTTCTCAAACCTTCTGAAGAGCTGATTGTATGCCACTGACAATCTTTTGTGCATACTTGTATTTCCATGCATGACACGTTGGGTTGATAGGTTTTGTCTACTTTGCAGCAAGGACCAAACACATTTGTGGAAGCTACCAACTTTCCAGTGAAAACTACTATGTCAGCAGCACATGCTGTGCAAATAAATCCATCTAATTACAGGTTTGTCAGTTGTTTTTAGGCATATATAACCGATATATATATATAATGTGACCTATGTGGACCTGTGTAACTATGGCTTCTTGTTCTTATGTGCAGTTCTGGATACGCTGATGAATATGATGACGAGCGTACGATGCAATTCAAAGATGCTGCATCAGCTGCTCGAGCAGCTGCAGAATCTGCCAATAGAGCAGCTTCTGCTGCCAAGGCGGCAGCTGATCTTGTCAATAAGAAGACCCATTCATCTGATGAGGTTGAGGACCGTAGAACTTCTTTTCATGAATCTAGTCATTCCAGCAAGAGACAGTCAATGAGCAACTCTAGTAGATCGTCCAGGAAGGAAGATATAGTGGCCTTTGATGAATCAAACCCCCAAGGGAGGAGGACGTCCCGCACAGGGAGCTCCATTGAATCAAACCACGTAGAAGATAAAGAAGACACTGAACAAGTGGAATTGAGTGCCAGGAGGATGCGGAAAAGGAACATCCGTTCTACTCGGAAGGTACACTCAGAGATAAAGTTTGATGATTCAGAGGGATTGAATTCAGAGACAGAGGACGAAAGTGATACGGAGATACAATCCATTGAAAGGCCAGCTCCTAGAAGTGAACCTTATCCAGGAAGTCGTCACTCCGAAGATGAAGAGAAAGAAAACCATGAATTACCTGATTTGCCGAAGGCAAACCTTAGTTCTCGTGTTCATCCAAATATGCCTCTGGACTACGAAACTCTTACTGCACGCTTCGAGGCGCTCAAATCTGGGAAGCTCCCATAGTGTGCAATTGAAGATGTAGCATATAATGCTAAATTTCTGCTACTTCTACAAAGAACCATATGATATACCAAATACTAGTAGGTTACTTCCAGTACTCTAGGGCCTTTTATTTTGGTGAACTGAAAGATTTGCTGTTTCAAACTGCTCCTACATTCATATTATTCAAGTATATATATGTGTTATCTGAAGTGAGAATTTGAGGCACCTACTGTAATCTGCAGAGTGCTGGAAGGTACTCCTGCACTATTTGTAAATTGATTTACATCCGAAGAAAACATTAGCCCCAGTTTCTGAAGAAATTAGACCCCATGATCTGCTTGTTGTCATTCAAGAAAATGAAAAGGATATGACTTGTAGGTGTTGGATTGGCAGGTTTCTCCCAGTTTCACTTCAGCTTTGCCAGAATTTTCAGAGTACAACTTTGGACTCAGTTAATGAGGAATGCGAACCATTTCATTATGATTTGATCATCTGAGAGATTGTACAGCTTCCTTTTCAATTCTATCTACGTCTGAACTACTCTACACACAATACTGCTAACTGTCAAACAAACAACAGTTGGTAATGCTAGTTACTGCAAACAGCAACTTGCTGACAAGCTCCCAGAGATGGTGTCACACAGCTTGCATAGTGGCACGGCATCACCATGGAGCTCAAGAACGCCTTCTCAACCTCTGCCGAAGCGTTTCTTCCGAGCAAGCACAACACGTACTCCATCACCATGGCGTCACACGGCAGCGTGATCTTGCCGTCGCCGGAGAAGCCGTACTCCTCCCGAGACATGGTCAGGAGCTCGCCCAAGACCGCCGTGCCGAGGTACGCCAATGGCACCTCGAACCGCGCGCCGTCGGCGGTGTAGATGGCGCAGTGACCCTTGCCGGCCACCGCCGTGGAGCAACCTTGGGCTTCTTCCGTCGCCATCGCCGTCGACGACATTGTAAGCCTCTTCCTCCCCAGTGCTGCCATCCTTCGCCATTTCTTTGCTAGCTGAGCAATCCTCTTGGCGCTGATCATGGCCATTTCTCTTCCTTGAGTTTGCAAGAATAATTGAAATGGAAGCTTGAAAACTCTACCTTGAGTTTGCAATGCTTGTGTTTGTGGATGGATGAAGTGAGATGGTGCTTGGAGGCCACTTTGCGTTGAATTTATAGCTGGAGAGGATGGCATTCAGTCTAGTGCATGCCATCGACCCATGATTGGGTAAGGGGACAAGGCCATAAGCTTGGTTGGTGCAACATTGCAAAGAAGATCATGGCAATGTGATTGAGATCATAAATTGCTGTAGCACCAACTGTGAGCTGTGTCCTGTGCTGGGTAGTGGGCACACTAGAATGCACCGCCCCACATTGACATGTTCAGTGGATCAGTGGCACTGGGACCCCATGATATTGGCAGACAGGCCTTGTGCACATATCTTGGGTTTAGATTTTTCTTTAACTAAGACCAGTTCCAACTATTGATGGACGGGTTCCATGCAATTAGGCATCTTGTGTTGGGAGAGTGAAAGATTAACTACTTATGATTAGTTGATTGAGGGATCAATCATTTCACAAGGATTAGGGAATTGATAGAGCCCTTTCTTCAGTTTGAAATAGGTTCGGCTGGAGAACTGCCAATGTCAAGCAATTACCATATTCGGCCCACACAATATCTAGATTTGCACTAATCATTACAGTATTTCATTATAAGATCAAATATGGTTATTAGTGTCTTATCTAGTTATCTTAAAATATAATCAGACTTCTAAATGGCTTTGGTGAATATACTACTATGTACTCTGATTCTCTGAAGACTTCAATTCCTGATCATGTCCCATGGTCTGAACTATCTTATATAGTAGTAGTTCACAGTTAACTGTATTAGCCATCGAAAAACAAAAGTTAAGGGCATTGCAAATTTGCAAACGGATGCTAAGTAGTAGGTCAATTAATATTTCATTTCCATTCTCCTGTACCGAACCACTTTACATCAAAATTGCACGGGACGTGCAAAATGCAGAAACAAGCAGTGCAACAAAACTCTGAACATCTTCAGAAACCTTTAGCTACAAACTGCAAACTGACGGTGCAACGCCACAGGTGGCATCGTGCGGCCTGAATTCTGGCAAGGCATCGTCACCACGGAGCTCAGGAACGCCCTCTCGACCTCCTCCGACGCGTTCCTCCTCAGCAAGCACATGACGTACTCCATCGCCGCCGCGTCGCAGGGCAGCGTGATCCTTCCGTCGCCGCCGGCGAACCCGAACTCCTCCTGCGACATCCTCAGGAGCTGCGACACCTCGCACCCGACTCCTTCCCCGCCTTCACTAGCTGTCGCCGGCGATCGTCTACACACTAGCTGAGCGTTGAATGCAGTCTATATTTCAAGTCTGTTTCAGACTGTACTTCACCATAAAATCCTGTTCATTACTCTCCATCTTGCTTAATTGATATATTAGGAAACTTTCCTGTATATTTTTTTAATGAAAAATTAGCACTTGCAAAGTGTCCTATATTTCGCTAGAAAATGTCAACTGTCCTATTTGATGGCGATGACGGCAACTTAGCTGTATTGAAACCTGAAACTTGAAACCAGTCAATGCCCACAGAAACTATGCAGACCAAGAAGCATGGACTGAATCAATGATTCTATGGTATGGCGTGCTGCAGATGAAACTACAAATAGAAAACTTTAGATATTGCAGCAGGTTGCCTGTATTGAACACCCAGTGGCGGTGAATCATTGTCAGATAATGAGGATTATCCAGCCATCTTCTTTCAGTGTCAAAACCAGGGGCAGCAAAAAATTCCAGCTGACAAGGAAACCATGGATTGAATCAATCATTTGCAACTCACAAGAATGCATGCTACAAAAGTTCAACTAAAACGGACCGACCCAGACTTCCAGAGCAATGCCCTGGACACGCAAGTTGCCTGGACAACCACCGTTTGGAGCACAAGACAAGCCGTGTGGGCTCTTTCAGTTCCTCATGCAACAAACACGATCCAGACATATATAGTGATAACAAGGTCCCAGACTGGGCCATGGATGATGCTTACAGTAGATTGCTAATCATCCAGCAAGTTGCATTGGCTCCATCACTCACCGCTCAAATGTTCACCAAACAGCCGGTCCCATGGGAGTCTAATCAAAATGTCAATGATCCAGCAACCTTGCACGTACAAACACCACTCATGGCCATGTCTCCTGTCCCATCACTTATGCTTTCCTTCTTTAGTTTTCACCTATAAATTCTTGGCCAGCTGAATACATCTACTTCATTCACAACAAGATAGTACTAGCAATCTAAAGCATTTAGCCTCAGACCAACAGAGTGCATCTAGCTAGTTTAGCCAAAGAAGAAAAAAAAAAGCAGCAGAACCATGATTCATGCAAAGAAGCTTGCTCAGTTGGCCAGGAAGTTGCAGCAGAAGATGGTATCAGCCAGAGGTGGCCGGCACACGTCCAGCGCCACTGACGATTGCTGCAGCACATCCTCTCTCGCCGGCAAGGGCCACTGCACGGTGTATACTGCTGATGGAGCACGGTTCGAGGTACCACTGCCGTACCTCGGCACGATGGTCTTCGGCGAGCTTCTGATGATGTCTCAGGAGGAGTTTGGCTTCGCAGGTGACGATGGCAGGATCACGTTGCCGTGCGATGCGTCAGTGATGGAGTATGTCTTGTGTCTGCTTAGGAGAGATGCCTCTGAAGAGGTTGAGAGGGCATTCTTGAGCTCCATGGCGAGGCCTTGCCACAATGTCAGAGTGTTCAGCCATCAACTTGCTGTTTGTACATAGCTCATTAGCTCCTGATGTAAATGTTAGGATTATATACGAGAAACAGATCATTCAGATGATGCAAAACAGCATTTTTTTCCTGTCAAAATTCTTGTTTTCTTGTCTGAACTCTGAATTGATTCTTGGGTGTATGTGCTCTAAAAAGGCAAACTCCTATTGAGGGCGTTCCGATTAACATGGACTCTCTAATTTGTCAATTTATATTGTTTATTTGTAGCGCTATTTGCAAAGATTAGTTCATGGTTTTCTGATTTTTTGTATCACACATGTTTAAGCTTGGCATATAGTGCACACTTTCTGAAAATGATGGCCATAATTGTAGTTACCCTAATTCTGCTTTTTCAAGTGCAGGTCTGCAGATCAGATAGCGATATATTCTAAAGAGAGATTATACTCTGGAATTGACCATCAGACAAATGTTAGTGAGCAGAACGGAGAAATTCTGCCCAAAAGACTAAAGCTTACAGAACTAATGCCTACAAGTTATTTGGTGTAGAAATGCAGAATTTTGCGATTTTCTGATGGCTGGAAGTTGCTCCTTTCCATTGCTTGTAAGTTGTAATTACCTCTCAAAGATTTTTTTTTTCCTTTCATGCTTGAATACAACATAAACTTCATGGTCTGATCCTGAGTTTCTGAAATATGATCTTACAAACAAGGAAATACCTGTTATTGCATCTTGATATGATTTTTTCCTAGCAATGGTCGTTTCAGCGTTATAATCCTCCGCAATGGTTGAACATTGGATGCAGTCTATATTTCAAGTCTGTTTCGGAGTGTCCTATAGTTCACTATAAGTCCTGTGCATTACTCATCACCCTACTTTATTGATATATTATTACTATATTATATTTTTTGAAAAAAATCAACTGTCCTATTTGATGATGGTGGTGACGACTTAGCTATCTTGAAACCTGAAACCTGAAACCAGTCAGTGCCCACAGAAACCATGCAGACCAAGAAACATGGACCGAATCAATGATTCAATGGTATGGCATGCTGCACATGAAACTACAAACCAAAAACTGTAGATATTGCAGTAAGTTGCCTGGATTGAACACCCATATGATCAAGATGGTTAGGATAGGAGCATCCAATATAGCTGTGGTTTCTACTGGTTCTGGGCACCACAGCACAAAGGGGACATGATCAAATGGCTGGTTGGTCCATTGGAACTGATGCTTAAACACTACCTAGTGTACAAGTCAGTACTACAGTACATCACCAATCATCGAATCAGTTGCAGTGGCTCCGTCGCTCAGTGAACATCCAGTCCCATTTAAATCTCAATATCACACCGTCTCCAACTGGAACAGTTGCGCGGCAACATTCGTGGCTATGTCTCCTCTGGTCCTGCCTACCACTTTGGCTGCCCATGCACTGTCCTCTCTTCCTTCACCTATAAATCCATTGCCTTCTCAACACAACCACTTCATCTGCAAACAGTATAGCAATCTAAGCGTCTCTACTTCATTCCTTCAGAGCAAAAGTTCATTTAGCCAAGAACACAGAAGAACCATGATCAGTTCAAGGAAGCTTGCTCAATTGGGCAAGAAGTGGCAGAGGATGGTGGCATCCAGTGGGCGGCAGACTGCAAGCATCGATGGATGCTGCAGCACAGCCACAGCGTATGTCGCAGACAAGGGCCATTGTGTGTTGTACACCACTGATGGGGCACGCTTCGAGGTTCCACTGATGTACCTCAACACGGCGATCTTCTGTGAGCTCTTAAGGGTGTCTCAAGAGGAGTTTGGCTTTGCAAGCAACAACAAGATCACATTGCCTTGTGATGCCTCAGTGATGGAGTACGTGATGTGTTTGATTAGGAGAGATGCCTCTGAAGAGATTGAGAAGGCGCTCCTGAGCTCCATAGTTAGGCCATGTCTTAATACTAGTGTGGTTCCACCAATGAGACTCAATCAGCAATTTGCTGTTTGCAGCTAGTTTATATGGTTTTTGTTCAATCCTATGTAAATTATCAGGATTACAGATTATGAGACAAAGATACAAATTTTTCCTAGCAGACTGGTACAGCAATTTCCTTTTTCTGAAAAATGTTGGTTTCTGTGGTTATTCTCATCAACATCCTTTTCCCTGTTAGGTGCAACAGATATGATTTGAGTAGTTTGCTAGCTGAATTATCCATTGATGAATTTTGAAAGATTTTCACACATGTTGAATAAATTAGATGTTTAGGAATTCACGCATGGCAAACATCAATGAAAAATAAACGACGACAGGGGCTTAACAACTGTGTCGGAGCCACTCTTTTCTTTCCTTTATTATTTTCTTTATCCTTTTTTTCTCCCTTGTAAGTTTTTCCTCCAATGGATGAAACTAAAAGCTCTCATGCTATGTCTCAGAAAGATATATGACTGACTCAGGTCTTATTGATAAGCGTGGTCCAGTAGGACCATCCTAACTCAATGATAGCACCAGCGAGTCTTAGTCCTGTAGGTCATATGGGAAAAAGTATAGGAAGAAACAACGAAATGGAGTTCACATGAGATGTTGCTAGCCAAATAGTCCATCTTCTAAACAGGCAATGTGACATTGTTGAGAAAATTCTTATTTTTTTAGACCACTCAATGCATTTAATCTGGCAGTTCAGGAAAAACGCGTTCTGGGCATGAAGACTCAGAAAAATGCATCTAAACTATGGGCCAAATTTAGATATTTTAAACATGATACAATCAAATACCTAATATATTTGATATCTCATTGCAGACTCAGAAATGGCACTGACCCTGACATGTTGGACCCCCCAACTTACATGTGGTCCTCATGAGGCAATGCATCTTGGACACCAAAACAGGTCAGTGTGGCCACACAATGTGGTGCCCATGCATCCACACACTGTTTTTATGGTATGGCTCAAACAAGTACTTAACTGATGGCCCTAGAGAAATCCAATCAGAACCACATAGCTTGGCCTTGAAACATTGCATGTTCTGAGCTCATGGCCTTGTGTCCTTTGCCAGCTTGCACTGATAGTTGCACCTAAACCACATTCCTCTCTTTCCCCTCATCCCTATAAATCCAACATTTTAGAAACGACCACTTCATCATCCACAACCCAAACATATCTCATAGCTGAATACTACCTTATACAAAAAATTTCAGACAAGAAAGAAGGAGAGCAACCATGATCAGTGCCAAGAGGCTCGCTCAAATGGCAAAGAAGTGGCAAAGAATAGCAGCCCTCGGGAGGAAGAGGATCACATGGACGACACCCAAAGCAACCGATGAATGCTGCAGTTCTGTGGCAGTGAAGGGCCATTGCATCATGTACACTGCTGATGGGCGGCGGTTTGAGGTCCCGTTGGCGTTCCTCGCCACGACGATCTTCGCAGAGCTCCTCAGGATGTCTCAGGAGGAGTTTGGCTTCACAACCGATGGAGGGATCACATTGCCTTGTGATGCAGAGGTCATGGAGTATGTCCTGTGCTTGCTTAGAAGAAATGCATCCGAGGAAGTTGTCAGGGCATTCCTGAGCACCATTGTGAAATCTTGCCACTATGGGAATGGCTTTGCACAATCCTTGGGGTCTGTCCAACAAGTAGCAGCTTCTAGCTTCTGAAAGTTTACGTATAGCTAATCTTTCTCCTTTTATCTTCCTTTGAATGATGTAAATATGGAAACATGATGGGAGTAATAGACATTGTGATTATTCATATCAAAGGAAACTGTTCATTCTCTCTGTTTCTTATCTGAAATTGTTGTGACTCCTGAGTTCTCCAGTTCTGGGTGTGTGATAATCATTGCTTAGGTAATGTTTTTTTGGTTGCGTAAGGGATGTTTTACAGGCGTCAGACTAACCAATGAATATGGCAAATGATTCGTTCAGGTAGTTCAGAAATTTCTGCATAGTCCTATACCAGTTGAAGAAAAAAAAATTGATGGAAGCAACATGTCATGCACAGAACCTTGTATGAACGTACATTTTTCTGAAACCCTCCTTTGCCTGAAAGTGCAGAGTTTCTTTTAGTTCGTCTTGCATTTCTGGGTGATATACTCATGTAAACAACACAAGGGAAATTGCAACTGGAACAAGTAACTCTCCAAATTTTATTTGTATCATGAAAAACTCAAGGGAAAACAGGCAGTGCTAGCACAAATATGTTTCTCAAATGAAGGTTTCAACACAAAAACATGTCAAAAGAATCAACACACGTGGCCTTACATTCCTCTCAAACAGAGAAAAGTAGAGGGAAAATACGGCATTCTAGCAAGCACAAGGTATATTACTATTTATGGATGATTATATTCTTCTTGCCTAATAAGTTGTACTTTGAAGCTCAGCCACAGCAAGAAACATCATATGCAAATGCAACACATGCAGACCGACAAGTCAAAAACGACATCTCGATCCTGGAAACATTATTCGAATGATTATTCAGGTATACAATAAATCTTATGATACAATACCCTTTTAAAAAGGAACATCAATAATCTAGATGTGTAGTAGTACCTCCAAAAGAAATGAAGTGCAAGAAAGAACAACTAAATGAACACCACATGAGATGCTGGAGGAAAAATCAGGCCATGTGCTAGACTTCTTCTTATGAATGTTCAGAAACAACATATTAGGGATTTAGTGGCGTGAGCAATGCATGTTCCAAGGCTGCATTCAGATCACCACAATCTCTAGATAGTATTGAATCTAAGAGCCACCGGTAGTCCAATAGAAACTGAAAACAATGGGTCCAATTCTCATGTTCTTCTCACGCGGCTTGTTCGTAACGCTGTTCAGTATGGCAGCCACAAAAATGATTGAAAGCAACTGGCTCCTACTGCTATCGCTTCCAGCAATGCACTGAAAACTTGCTCACATCACAATCTGACCCAAATCAATCATACCGCGACATCGCATGCGCCGATCCCATGGCCTTGTCCCTTGCTAACTCATCTCAATGCCATCTATAAATTCAGCATCAGGCAGACTGAACACCATCACATTTCATCAGCTCATCCACAAAGCAAGCATTGCATCACACCTCATAGCACATCTCATCAGGTTTCCAGCTGAAAACCCAAGACCAAGAACCAGCCATGATCAGTGCCAGGAGAGTTGCTCAGCTGGCCAAGAAGTGGCAGAGGATGGCAGCACTCGGAAGGAAGAGGCTCACAGTGAGAGCCAAACAAGATCAAGAATGCTGCAGTTCCATGGCAGGCAAGGGCCACTGCGCCATGTACACGGCGGACGGGAGCCGATTCGAGGTCCCGTTGGCGTACCTCGGCACGGCGGTCTTCAGTGAGCTCCTCCGGATGTCACAGGAGGAGTTTGGTTTCTCGATCGATGGCAGGATCATGCTGCCTTGTGATGCTGCTGTGATGGAGTATGCCATGTGCTTGCTCAGGAGAAATGCTTCGGTTGAGGTGGAGAAAGCATTGCTGAGCTCCATGGTGGCATCTTGCCACTACACTGGTTCTATGGTGCCAACTGTTGGAGTCAATCAGCAAATTTCCTGCTTGTAGATTGATGAAGAAGAGCCAAGTCTTCTCCTGTAGTTGCATTATATTCTGTGTCATGCCCTGATCAGTTTAGGATAGTTAGATGTAGTTAATAGGAAGAGGAAAAAAATTGCCATGTAAGCCTTTCAATCTTGAAAGCAATCAAGAAATTGAATAACCATTTTCCCCCCTTAACTTGATGTTGCATAAAGAAATTCTTATGTTCCATGAAAATTGTTGATTGCACACAGTATTCAGTATCAACAAGTGTCTGTACAATCTATTCTAGAATTCTAGCACTTCTGATAAAATAGTGAAAAATGAAATGATCAGGTGGCATGGCAAAGACAACATTTCCAACGATGATTTTTTCCCCGAACACGCAAGCGCTTTGCACGTCAACCATGAATCATCAGATAAAACCCATTAGGAATCAGAAATAATGACTGAAGTACTGTAAAAAAAATCACAAAATGGAAGGACGCCAAAATTTCCAAGTCAGTAATAAAAGACCAACTTTTCGGAGAAAAACATGTGCGGTGATGTTTACTACTATCTGAATAAAATGTCGCTAAAACTATAACCTTTCAAGAAGGCAATGCGTCATCCGTGAAAAAGTTCAGTCTATTTTTCCTTCACATTTTTCTGTTAAATTTTCCATACCATGTTTTGCAGCTGCCATCAATAAAGTTAGATCGATAAATCACACTGTTCAGCAAGTTGCACAAAACGATCAGTTAACGTGGTCGCTTGAACTCGTAATCAAACATATGTACACTGAAGCCCAAGGTTAAATAAAGTACTAAATCAGTTAAATCAAATTCTGGTATATGTCATAATGTCATTCAATGTTTCATTTCAAATCTCCTACACTGAACTACTCTTTTTTACATCATACAGATTGCACAAGACTTGCAAAATGCAGACATGCAGTGCAGCGAAACTGTGAGTATCTTCAGAAACCTTTAGCTACAAACTGCAAACTGATGGTGCAACGCCACAGGTGGCATCGTGCAGCCTGAATTCTGGCAAGGCATCGTCACCACCGAGCTCAGGAACGCCCTCTCAACCTCCTCCGACGCGTTCCTCCTCAGCAAGCACATCACGTACTCCATCGCCGCCGCGTCGCAGGGCAGCGTGATCCTTCCGTCGCCGCCGGCGAACCCGAACTCCTCCTGCGACATCCTCAGGAGCTCGACGAACACCGTCGTGCCGAGGTACGGCAACGGCACCTCGAACCGCGCCCCGTCGGACGTGTACACGGCGCAGTGGCCCTTGTCCGCCACCGGCGACGGCGAGGTCGACGTGCAGCCGGCGTCGTCGTCCTCCCTGTTGCTGGCGGCCGTCTTGATCCTCTGCAGCTTCCTCGCAAGCTGAGCGAGCTTCTTGGAATGGATCATGGCGGCTGCTTGTTATGTTCTTGGTTTCAGGTGTGTGTTGCTCAGGAAGAATGGATGGTATGTTGATCGCTAATAGCTAGATCGTCATGGATATATAGACGAGACGAGACGAAAGATGGTCCATGTGTAAGGCATTTGGTTGGAGACAAGGCCATGAGCTGGACTCGTGCAATGTTGCCTCGAGAGGTAGGCAGCGAGAGATTCAGATTAGGTACTACAGCAGCGAGGTAGGCCATCACCTGCTGCTGCAGTGGACTAGTGGCTGGGCAACCAGATACGTACGTACTACAGTAGTTGCAGCTGAACTGGGAGAAGCATCATCGTGCAGGCTGTTCCATTCTGGTCAGCTTCCTGTATCAAGAAATTGGTGATATGGATTAGTTCAAAGACAATCGTTTTCTGAATGAGTTGACGACTATTACTAGTTCTTGTGATTTCAGTTAGGTGAAGTGGTAGTGTCGAAGGACTGAAGGAGACACGGCGCCGCGCGAAGGTTCAGGAGTGCCCTTTCCTGGGCAGATTCAGGGTTCGTTTCTCTGCTTTACAGCCTCAGAGTTGCATTGCATGCCTATTAGGTGTTGGTTAGCTAGCTAGCAGTGGTTTGATTGTTGCAGGCACAACTTGCAGTACTGCAGCTCCATCTCCCCGATTTCCATCGGTTGTCTGCATGATTTGTAGCATGGCACATGTAGTGGCGACCATTTCTTGGCATTTTCCTTGCATTTTGCAATGGTCCTACGACCTTTTGGGAGTTTCATGCTGGTTTTGGCAGGAAAGTTTAAACAAGGTTGCTGCCCCTAGTTTCAGACTTTCAGTGCAGCAACTCCAACTTGGTATCAATTCAAAAAGACTCCAACTTGGTATCACTGTCTGTATCCAAGTCAGATTTTGACGAACGGAGTAAGACTGCCTGCCGGAGCCATTTGGTAGTCAGATTGCTTCCATTTGGAGCCATTTGCCGACGGGGCGCGGTTCGAGGTGCCATTGCTGTACCTCGGCACGGCGGTCTTCGGCGAGCTCCTGACCATGTCCCGGGAGGAGTTCGGCTTCGCCGGCGACGACGGTAGGATCACGTTGCCGTGCGATGCGTCGGTGATGGAGTATGTCTTGTGCCTGCTTAGAAGAGATGCCTCTGAAGAGGTCGAGAGGGCGTTCTTGAGCTCCATGGCCAGGCCTTGCCACTATGCCGGGTCTCAACAATCAGTTCTTGTTTGCACATAATTCATCTGTTCATGATGTATAGTATACGATTTTGTTTGATCAATTGGTTCTGTGACACAACGGAAAAATATGCCGAAATATTGCATGCATTCTTATTGTTTCTTACTAGTGAGTTCTGAAGAAATTAGAAAGATTTCGTAGTGGATTCAATTCTAGCAGCTTTCATTGACGTGTCTGTTTTGATCGATTAATATGGACGGTTCGGATTGAGACAGGTTAGAGGATTTGGGCTTTTATGGTTAGACCCTCTGACCCTGTGTAGATGGACTTTTAAGTCTCTATCACATCGGATGTTTGAACACTAATTATAAATATTAAACGTAGACTATTAATAAAACTTATCTATAATTTTGGACTAATTCACGAGACGAATCTATTGAGCCTAATTAATCCATAATTAGCCTATGTGATGCTATAGTAAATATTCTCCAATTATGGATTAATTAGGTCTAAAAAATTTATCTCGTAAATTAGCTTTCATTTATATAATTAGTTTTGTAAGTAGTATATATTTAATACTCAGTATAGACTAAAGTTAGTCGGTGATCCAAACACCAAGTATCCTTCATTTAAGTATTGTACCCATATCGAAGATTCGAAGTATCCGCCGCAAATGTCAAAAAAAAAAAAAAAGTATCCGCCGGCGGCGGCGGAAGTGGCGGCCGCTAGCGCCGGTGAATCTCGCGCGGCCGCCTGGGCGCTCGCTAGGCAGGCTCGCCGGTGGAGTCTGCTGTGACATCGATGCCCACAGTCTGGTGACTGGTGAGAATCCCCAACCGAATAGGCCCAAATCGGTAGTGTATTAAAGAAAGCAAATTTGCTTGTGGTAGTTGTTTGTCTCGAGAAAGTTCTTGCAGCCATGGTTAGAGATTTCGGAGTTTTCTTGTTGTTACTCAAGAAAGTTAAAAAAAACCCTCTTGTTCTAGTACATTTGTTTTAGCTTGGGCATAAAGTGCGCAGTTCCTGAAGATATTTATTTTTTACCAATGAAGAAATTAGGATATTATGCATGATGCATCTAATACTATAGCTTTTGTTGATATTCTGGCTGTGATCGCTATCTCCCAAAAGGTTCTACTTTTTTCTATATCTAAGCGTTAATCGGCATAGAAAAAAAAAGTTTTTTTTTGCCAAAGGGTTGGAGGTTGCCAATGCCAAGTAATTACCCCCACAATGTGTTTTAAGTTGCATGTTGTATTCCCAAAGATTCTGCGAAGCATCTGTGTTTCCTATAATCCCCATGTGCATATTTTCCTGAGCAGAAGGAGAAGAGCAGAGTACACTTCATTGGATTTGTGCGTGCAGGGACTAATTAGTACTTGAAACTTCTGTGTTTAGCAGTACTAATTTCATTTGGTGTAGATTAATGCCACGGACATGGGGTAGGATTGTGTCCCTCAATTGGGTTTAAGCTAACTTCCAGAAAATTTCATATCTCAGTTTTGATTGGTCTCCTTGATTTGTAATGTGTCATGTTGAATCCATTATTAGAGAGTTGGAGTCTTCCTGCACCTCCTCTGAGCCTTCCATAAGTTGTGAACCTTGATGTGCTGGCTTTAGTTTCCTCTCTTCATCTTCTTTTTTTAAAAGAAGTTCAGAAACATCTGTTCTAGTATGTGCTAATATGTGACAGTTAGTATATAATCCTTTTTCTTGTCTGCAGACTCATTGTATTTTTTAAAGAAATGCAATAGAAAATAATATGAATTATGACTGTCGGTTGTGATTGACCTGGTTTCTCCTCAGTTGGCTTCAGCCTTTCCAGATAAAATTGGATTCACATACTGATGTTATCAAAGTGGCAGATGCCAAATTTTGTCATATGAGAGAATGTACAACTTTTTCCTTCTATCTAGAACTACTTTACATGCAAGAGTGCTTAACAAATGACTACTAGGAGCTGCAAATAGCAACTTGCATGTTTACTCCCAGAGACGGTGTCGTACTGTTTGCATAGTGGCACGAAATCGCCATGGAGCTCAAGAATGCCTTCTCAACATCTACTGAAGCATTTCTTCTAAGTAAGCACATCACGTACTCCATCACCATGGCATCACATGGTAATGTGATCTTTCCATCACTCGTGAAGCCAAACTCCTCCTGTGACATCCTCAGGAGCTCACCGAAGACCATCGTGCCGAGGTACCGCAGTGGCACCTCAAACCGCATGCCATCTGCGGTGTATACGATGCAGTAGCCCTTGCCTGCCACCATTGTTGAGCATCCTTCAGCTTCTTGTGGTGCCATCATTGTAAGCCGCTTCCTTCCCTTGGCTGCCATCCTTCTCCACTTCTTTGCTAGTTGAGCAATTCTCTTGGTGCTGATCATGGTTGATTCTTTTTTCTGGAGGGCGGAAGCTGGAAACCTCTACCTGAGTTGCAGTGCTTTGTTCGTGGATGAAGTGATGGTGTTTGGAGGCCACTTAGCCATGGATTTATAGTTGGAGAGAAGGAGGTATCCAGCCAAGTTAGGCATGGTTGGAAACGCTGGGTAAGGAGACAAGGTCATGAGCACATCATGTGCGATGTTCCAGTCTGATCAAGGCAAGGTGATCGAGATTTGACATTGCTTTAGGGCCAACTGTTTGATGTGTGGTGAGCACATAACAGTGCACCGCCATATAACGTGCTTAGCGGATAAGTGGCACGAGGGCCCCATGCAAATTGGGTCCAGTGTGTGAAGGTCAGTTCCTCAGGTACTACACAATGAGATATTGGCAGACAAGTCTTGTGCTGATAGTGAAAGATAAGCTGCATATGTTAATCAAAAGACCAATCATTTTCACAATGATCAGGGACCCTGTTCTTGTACTTCGCAGTTTGCAGTGTATCACCGTGAGTTGCAATCAATTTAAGGGCCATTATCATGGGTATGGCCAGTTCACAATGTGCTTATGTATGTTCTTGACAGTTTGATTAAGTCTGAAAGGCAGTTTGTTAATAAATGCAGAGTATGAAACTTACTGAACAGTCCCCATCTCCCATCTCCATTCTGATTGATGACCTACCGACTTGTACATTGCATGTGGTGTGAGCTTCTCTGAACTTTCCTGTGGGCCTACAACCAGCTGCCAACCTGAAGACCATTTAGTGAATCGTCTTTTTTTTTCTTTTTTAAAGAAAGAGAAGGAAACCCTCTCCCATTTCTATTACTATAAATGGAAACGCTACAGTTCAGTTTTCCATTTGGAGAACCACTATGGACATGTCTTTTATTATGCTTTCAAATTTTCTTTTGAGCATTTCAGGCCTAATTTTCTTATATGCAGTTTTACCATTTCAGGGTGTAGAATTATATGTCAACAGTTAAACCTCACTCGTTCATACTCGAAAATCCGGTCTTATAGTGTCAATGAAATCTGTTTTCCTTGACCCTTGTCATCCTGAGGGCTTTTGTAAGTTTTATCTTGAGGGTTCATCATAAAAACAAATGCTCTTCTACTTGATGATTTCACTTGTTCACTTTTCTAACAGCAGCTTATATTTCTTAAGGTGAGAATCTTATATGGTAGATTTCAGAGAAACTTGCCATGCATTCTGCATGCTGCAATTTCGAAAAGAGTGGCATTCACTATTATAGGCAATTTAAATGTAAGCAAAAATGGCTGCAACTGCTGGTTGGCCACGTTTCTTCTTGATTATTTGCAAGATCAAATGGCTTTACATAGCATATTTCACTTTCCTTTTGTTAATCTAACTATCTTACATTGGACCATTCCAGGTAAGCCACATAAAGGAATCAGAATCAGGGCCTCAACATGCATGACTTCAGTAGCTACAAACAGCAAATGTGCTGGCTGGCCCCAACAGTTGGGATCATACTACCAGTGTAGCGGCAAGATGTCAGCATAGAGCTTAGCAATGCATTCACCACATCAGCTGAGGCATTTCTCTTGAGCAAGCACATGGCATACTCCATCTCTGCAGCATCACAAGGCAGCATGATTCTGCCATCGCTCGTGAAGCCAAACTCCTCCTGGGACATCCTCAGGAGTTCAATGAAGACCCTCATGCCAAGGTACACCAATGGGACCTCGAACCGCCTCCCGTCAGCTGTGTACATGACGCAATGGCCCTTGACTGCTACAGAAGTGGAGCATTCTTCAGTTTCTTGAGCTGCTGCCATGACCCTCTTCCTCCCAAGGGCTGCCATCCTTTGCCACTTCTTGGCCAGCTGAACAAGTCTCTTGGCGCTGATCATGGTTGGTCGGCTGCTTGTTGTCTTGTTTTTCAGCTGGGAATTTGAGTAGGTATGCTACAAGGTGTGATGTTCAGTTTCTGACTCTGGATGAGCTGATGAACTGATGGTATTGAGATAGCTTGCCTCTCAATTTATAGATGATGAAGATGATGGCGTGCCAGTTTCGATGTAGGTCAGATGTATCAGCAAGGGACAGGGCCATGATACCGCAACATGCAATGCTGCGTGTAGCTGATTGAGTTAGACTTTGATAGGGACAAACGTTTGCTGCATGCAAGTCTTGGTGGTTGAGTTCTGCAAACTGAATGCCATAGCGATATGTTTAGTGGATGAGGGGCACAAGGACCCCATGTTAATTGTGTCCAACGCGTGGGGGGCAGTTGAAGTTCCATCAGCTATTGTGCAATGAGATAATAGCAGACAGGCATGGTGAAGGCACCTCTGGTCCAGCCTTTTATTGGTGGATTTCATTTTGTTCGTCATCTTTTGTTGAGAATAAAAGATTATCTGCTTATGTTTATTGGACAAGCCCAATATTTCATAATGATTAGGTGATCTTATTTTTGTACTTCGCGATACAACACAAGTTACACAACGGAGACTGCAAGACAGGGTTGTCTAGCACTTATGGTTCAGCAGTCAGCAGCCTTTATTTAGCAGATGATGAGAAGTCGTCTCCATTGGATTTCCATGTGTACACTGTACTTATGTAACCTGCTTGACAATTTGAATAGGTGTGAAAGAGGCCACATCAACTGATCGTTGTGTGTAACTTGCTGAACAGTTTGGTCCATCTGATTTGTAGCATCTCATGTGGCATTGAGTCCCTAGCATCTTCGCTGGGCTTTCCTATGGGTCTGCAGCCAACAGCAAACCATGATATGGTAAATTTAGCTGAAAAATGCGAAGGAAAAATGGCCTAAACTAATGATGGATGCCATGTTCAAGCCTACTGGATACTGGCTTAGTGACCTCTTAAAGGTTCTATCTTCAACAACATTTTATTCTGGTAGCAGCTAAACATCATTACTTGTTTTTCTCCAAAATCAATCTTTTACTGCTGACTTAAATTCATTTGCCTCCTTCCATTTTGTCATTTTCACATCACTTCAGTCATTATTTTTTATTCCTAATGGCCTTCTGAAGTCTTTATCCAACGATTGACCATTGAAAACAGCTGTTTGTGCCACCTGATCATTTCATTTCCCTCACTATTTTTTTTATCAGAACCGCAGATAGATTGTACAGAAACTTGTTGAGTATTGAAAGTACTCTGTATGGTCAACAATTCTCATATGAAATATGTGCAATCATTCCTGTATGCAACAAAAGTTTTAAGGAAAAAATGGTTTGGTTATGCTGTCAGGCTGTTTCTTGACTGCTTGCAAGATCGGAAAGCTTTACAGAGCAATTTCCCTCTTTCTATAGCTACATCTAACTATTTTGAATTGATCCAGATATAATACAGAATAGAGTACAACTACAGGAGAAGACTTATGGCTCTTCTTCGGGAAGCTACAAGCAGGAAATTTGCTGGTTGACTCCACCAGTTGGCACCATACGACTTGTGCAGTGGCAAGACATTGGAATAGAGCTGAGCAATGCATTCACCACCTCGACTGAGGGATTTCTCTTGAGCAAGCACATGGCATACTCCATCTCTCAGCATCAAAAGGCAACACGATTCTGCCGTCGCTTGTGAAACCGAACTCCTCCTGGGACATCCTCAGGAGTTCACTGAAGACCGCGGTGCCAAGGTACGTCAACGGGACCTCGAACCGCCTCCCATCAGCTGTGTACATGACGCAGTGGCCCTTGACTGCTACAGAAGTGGAGCATTCTTCAGTTTCTTGGGCCTTTGCCATGATCCTCTTCCTTCCAAGGGCAGCTATCCTTTGCCACTTCTTTGCCAATTGAACCAATCTCTTGGCGCTGATCATGGTTGATTGGTAGGTTTTTTTCAGCTGGAAATTTGAATAGCTATGGTATGAAGTGTGATGCTCAGTTTCTGACTCCAAACGAACTGATCAACTGATGATACTGAGATAGCTAGTCTCTGAATTTATAGATGAGGGAAATGATATCATGCCAGTGAAGCATGCCATCGTCGATGTCGGTCAGGCGTATCAGCAAGGGACAGGGCCATGATACTGCAACATGTGATGCTGAGTTTAACTAATCGAACTAGATTTTGATGGGGACAAGTGTTTGCTGCATGCATGTCTTGGTGGTTGAGTTCAGCACACCGGATGCCATTGTGACATGTTTAGTGGATGAGGGGCATGAGGACCCCATGCTAATTGGGTTCAACATGTGGTGGCGTGAGTGGCAGTTACATCCACTATTGTGCAATGAGATAATAGCAGACAGGTATGGTGAAGGCACCTCTGGTAGTCTGGTCCAGCTTTGTATTGATGTGTTCCATTTTGTTCGGCATCTTCTGATGAGAGTGAATGATTATCTCCTTATGTTTATTGCACAATCCAAATATTTCAAAATGATTGGGCATCCTATTTTTGTACTTCACAGTACAACACAATGGAGACTACAGGACATGGATGTCTAGCACTTATGATTCAGCAATCAGTAGTCTTTATTTAGCAGATGAGAAGTCGCCTCCATTGGATTTGCGTGTGTACTCTGTACTTGTATAGCCTGATTAACTATTTGATTAGGTGTGAAAGGGGGCACGCTAACTGATCATTGTGTGCAACTTGCTGAACAGTGTGTCTTATCTAATTCTGATTGATGGCCTATCTGATTTGCAGCATCTCATGTGGTATCGAGTTCTCAGCATCTTCCCTGGGCTTTCCTGTGGGTCTACAACCAGCAGCAAACAGTGGTGTGGAAAATTTAGATGAAAAAAGTGAAAAGAAAAATGGAGTACTCTTATGCCTTTGAGCATGTTCAGGCCTACTGGCTACTGCCTTCTTTAAAGGTTATATCTTCAACAACATTTTATTATGGTAGAGGCTAAACATCATGTTTTTTCTCCAAAATCAGCTGTTTACTGCTGACTTAAAATGATTTATCTCCTTCCATTCTGTTAATTTCACATTACTTCAGTCATTATTTATGATTCTTAATGGTCTTATTACTGTTTGTGCCACCTGATCATTTCATTTCCTCACTACTATATCAGAACTGCAGAACAGATTGTACAGACTTGTTGTGAGAGTACTCTGTGCAGTCAGCAATTCTCGTATGAAATATGTGCAATCATACTGTTAACCTGTATGCAACAATAATTTAATGGAAAAAATGGATGCATATGCTGACTGCGTGTTTCTTGATTGCTTGCAAGATCGAAAGGATTTACAGTGCAATTTTCCTCTTCCTATTAGCTACATCTAACTGTTTTGAATTGGTCCAGATATAATACATAATAATTTACAATTACAGGGCAAGCCATATGGCTCTTCTTCAGGAAGCTACAAGCAGGAAATTTGCTGGTTGACTCCGACAGTTGGCACCATACTACCAGTGCAGTGGCAACGTATCAGCATAGAGCTGAGCAATGCATCCACCACCTCGACCGATGGATTCCTCTTGAGCAAGCACATGGCATACTCCATTTCTGCAGCATCACAAGGCAACACAATTCTCCCGTCGCTTGTGAAGCCAAACTCCTCCTGGGACATCCTCAGGAGTTCACTGAAGACCACTGTGCCAAGGTACGCCAATGGGACCTCAAACCGCCTCCCATCAGCTGTGTACATGACGCAGTGGCCCTTGACTGCTACAGAAGTGGAGCATTCTTCAGTTTCTTGGGCCTTTCCCATGATCCTCTTCCTTCCAAGGGCTGCCATCCTCTGCCACTTTGCCAATTGAACCAGTCTCTTGGCGCTGATCATGGTTGGTTGGCTGGTTTTTTCAGCTGAAAATATGAATAGGTATGCTATAAGGTGTGATTCTCAGTTTCTGTCTCTGGAGGAGCTGATGAACTGATGATATTGAGATAGCTAGTCTGAATTTATAGATGGGGGAAATGATGGTGTGCGAGTGTCTAGGTTGGCCAGAAGTATCAGCAAGGGACAGGGCCATGATACCGCAACATGCAAATGCTGAGTGCAACTGGTTGAATTAGATTTTGATAGGGACAAGTGTTTGCTACATGCATGTCTTAGTGGTTGAGTTCTGCACACACCGCTATATGCACTTGATGCCAGAGTGACATACTGACATGTTTAGTGAATGAGGAACACGAGGACCCCATGTTTAATTGGGTCCATGTTGTGACGGCGTGAGGGGCAGTTCCATCAACTATTGTGCAATGAGATAATAGCAGAGAAGTATGGTGAGGGCACCTCTGGTCCAGCTTTTTATTGGCGGATTCCATCATGCTTGGCATATTTTTTTTGACTTGGAAAACTGCCAGGGCTTTGCGTAGCAGTGTATTTTCATTAAAGCAGAAAATATTTACAGAGGTTTACATACAGCAAGATCTTAAAGCTACAAAGTTTGTAACCAATCAAAAACAGATTGCTTTAAAGGATCCTTCATTCTACACAGATGTAGAAGAATTTCTTTGGCGAACAAGGCCTTCCAAGATTGAAATGATGGAATAATATTATAAAAAATGAGCCCATTTCTCTGCTTCCATATGCCTGGCATATTTTGTGGGAGTAAAAATTATTTGCTTGTGTTTATTGGAGCTAATAAATATTTCAGAATTCAGATTGATTGCGGCTTCCTGTTTTTGTACTTTGAAATGCAACACAACTGAGACTGCATGACAGGGATGGGTAGCACTTGGTTCTGCAATTAACAGATGAGAAGTTGTCTCTATTGGACTTGAATAACCTCTTAAAATTTTGATTTGGTGTGAAAAGGACCACATTAACTGATCATTGTGTGCAACTGTTGAACAGTGCAGCCTACATAATTCTGATTGATGGGCTGCCTGGTTTGTAGCATCACATGTGGCATTGAGTTCTCGGCATCTTCCCTGGGTAGCTGGGCTTTCCTATGGGTCTACAACCAGGTGCAAACCATGGTATGGAAAATTTTGCTGGAAATTGTGAAGGAAAAAAATGACCAGTCTTATGATTATGATGGATGACACATTGGCTTCTTTAAAAAGTTATAACTTCAACAACATTTTAATATTTATTCTGATAGCAGCTAAGCATCATCACATGGTTTTCTCCAAAAGTCGGCCTTTTACTACTGATTGAAAATAATTGGGTCTCCGTCTGTCATGATTTTTACATTACTTAAAGTCCTTATTACTTCTGATCTGTAATGGCCCTCTGAAATCTTTATCCAACGATTCAATGTTAATGTTGTTTGTGCGACCTAATTATGAGTTTTACATTACTTCAAGTCCTTGTTATTTCTGATTTTTACATTACTTAAGTCATTATTTCAAAATTGTGCCACCTTACCATTTCATTTTTGTTTTATCAGAAGCGCATAGTAGATTGTACAGACACTTTTGATAATACTCTGCAGTAAACAATTTCATGTAACATAAGTGAAAGAGCATCTATGCCCCTAGTGGGTTTTGGTTTATTGATGACAAACGATTAAGGGACTAATGCACTTATTGAGTGTATAAGCAAGTGATTAGTCCGATGAAGAAGCTAGGAAATGGACTTATCGATGGATGGGAATTAAAGAGAAGATATTGAAGATGCGGGTATGAAGTGACTACCTATGGCAAGACGGTGAAGCGCAAGCGACACTCAGTTGCGATGGACCATGCGGTGGTGAAGGGCAAGCAAGGGGCTTGGCGCCGACGAACCGAAACCGGTGGTGAAGGGCGAGTGAAGACTGTGTCGTGATGAACTGTGCGAGGCCATTTGAAGCCATGGATTATCCACATTAATCATTTGAGAAATGGAAGATAAAATGTCAAAGATCAAGAAGATGAGATCTTCCCGATGATCAAATGACTTTGACGTTGGTAACCCTCCAAGTGAAGAATCAATATGGTGTGAAGGTACTCCTACTGGTATAACTTTACTTTTTAAATTTGAGTTTAGGATGCCGTACTATTAAGAGGGATACCACATGCATATAATTGGTTGAATACTAGTGCTCAAAATGCTTCATGTTTGTGTGAGTTGAAAAACCTAAGCCAAAATTTTTAATCCCGAGTTGTTTCACTTGTCACAACACTTACACCGGGTTTCTTTGCAAGTTTTTCAACATCTCTTGAAGGTTTTGGACCATGTTTTATGTTGGGTTTGATAGCCCACGAAACTAGCTTTCCATAGAGTCCAAGATCTTCGAAATCGGAGTTCGGAGTAAAAAGTTATTGCATTTTTACTTGAGCAACATCAGACTATCCGATTTGAAATCAGACTATCCGATGTATCGAACTATCCGATTTTTCACAGAACTTCACTCTCTGTCTTTGTTTGAAAAATCCTTTCGAGTGAGTTTTTCTAAGTGTCGGAGTATCCGATGTTGGATCAGATAGTCCGATGATAAAGAGACTCCGAAATTTCATGGAACTTGAGTCTCTGTTTGAGGACAAAGTTTTTGCTTCTAAAATATCAGATACTCCGATTTAACATTAGATAGTCCGATGTCTCGGAAAGTCTGAAATTTCATGGAACTTCGTTCTCTGTTTCTTGTTGCCTTGGAGGTTTAAAATATCGGACTATCCGATCTTATATCGGACTATCCGACGTGGGCTGAAAGATTCCCCACCAACGGTCACATTTTGGGGGGATCTATATAAACCCCCCACCAACCCCTTTTCTAGGGTTGCCCAAACTCATTTCATTTAAATCTTGTTTTGGGTTGAGCTTTGTGCTAAGTGCTTTGGATCTTTGAGCTCTCTCCCTCTCTATCTCAAATCCCCCTTGTTCTTTGTGACTTGGATCTTTGTGTGTGGATTTGGAGTTTGGGAGTCTAGTGTGTGTTTCTTTTGATCTTGAGCACTAGGATTTGTCCAAGAGTTGTGTGGTGTTTATTACTCTTGGAGGTTGAGGACTCCTAGATGGCTAGGTGTCGTTCTTGGGCCACTGATCTACGTGTGGTTGGCCAAGAGAAGTTTGTGAAGTCCGGATCTCGCCTCCGCAAGGAAAGAGATACCCTTAGTGGAAGGAGGAGTGCATTTGTGCAACCTCACGAGGATAGGGTTGAAAAAGACCCGGCTCTTTGCGAGCCCCTCAACGGAGACTAGAATCCCCTCAAGGATTTGAACTCCGGGAAATACATCGGCGCATAAACCTCGGTGATATCCTCACTCTCTTTACCTTCTTGTTGCATTGCTTTGTGCCATGCTAATATTGTTGTTGGTTGAGCTCACCTCTTTGCTTGTGGATTGAATCTAGATCTCTTAGGTTGTTCTCTTGTTTGTATTGTTGTTGTGCAGGTCAGATAGTCTGATCTCAATTCAGACTATCCGATCACATAGGACTATCCGACCTGATATCAGACAATCCGACCCTGTTTTGTTTTAGCTTCCGCATTTATTTTAAAAATCGCCTATTCACCCCCCCCTCTAGGCGACATCAAGGTCCTTTCAATAAGAGAATGCAATTCATTCCTCTGTGCAACATCAATTTAAGGAAAAAAATGACAGCATATGTTGGCTGGACGTTTTCTTTGATTGCTTGCAATATTGAAAGGCTTACATGGCAATTTTCCTCTTTCTATTACCTACATCTAACTGTTCTAAACTGATCCAGGTATAATACAGATATAATAGAACTACAGGAGAAGACTTGGCTCTTCTTCAGGAAACTACAAGCAAGAAATATGCTGGTTGACTCCAACGGTTGGCACCATACAACCGGTGTAGTGGCAAGGTGCCACCATGGAGCTCAGCAATGCTTTCTCCACCTCAGCTGAAGCATTTCTCTTGAGCAAGCACATGGCATACTCCATTACCACAGCATCACAAGGCAACATGATCCTGCCATCGCTCGTGAAACCAAACTCCTCCTGTGACATCCTGAGGAGCTCACTGAAGACTGCAGTGCCGAGGTACGCCAACGGGACCTCGAATCGGCTCCCGTCCGCTGTGTACATGACACAGTGGCCCTTGCCTGCTACAGATGTGCAGCACTCTTCATTTTCTTTGGCTTTCATTGTGAGCCTCTTCCTTTCAAGTGCCGCCATCCTCTGCCACTTCTTGGCCAGTTGAGCAAGTCTCCTGGCACTGATCATGGTTGATTGTTGATCTTGGTTTCAGCTGGAAATCTGATGAGATGTACTATGAAGTGCGATGCCCGCTTTGTGGATGAGTTGATGAAATGTGATGGTGCTCAGTCTGCTAGATGCTGAATTTATAGGCCATGGAGCAGAGGCGCAGTACAGATGTCATTGAGATTAGTTGGCAAGGGACAAGGCCATGGGAATGGTGTGTGCGATGTCGCGGTATGATTGATTTGTATCAGATTTTGATGGGAGCAAGTTTTCGGTGCATGCTGGAACCGATAGTAGTAAGAGCCAGTTGATTTCAATCATTTCGTGGCTGCCATACTTCGTTTCAAAATAAAAAAAAAAGGGTGACTGCCATACTGAACAGCGTTGGGAACAGGCCGCGTGAGGAGAACATGTTAATTGAACCCATCATTTTCAGTTTCTATTGGAATACCGGTGGCTCTTAGATTCAGTACTATATACTGCTTGTGGTGCTCTCAGTTACCTAAATTGGTGCTCTGAATGCAGCCTTGGAATTGTGATATGCATTGCTCACACCCCTAAATCCCTGATATGTTGTTTCTGAACATCCATAAGAAGAAGTCTAGTCCAGCACATGGTCTGATTTCCCCTTTTTTTCCCTCCAACATCTAATGTGGTGTCCATTTTGTTCTTTCTCGCACTTTATTTCTTTTGGAGGATTATTGTTGAGTATTTCTTTTTTGAAAGGATATTGTATCGTAAGATTATTGTACCTGAATAATCATTTGAATCACGTTTCTAGAAGCTGAAGAAAGCCGGCTCTGATGTCGTATTCGACTTCTCAGCCTGCATGTGTTGCATTTGCATATGATGTTTCTTGTTGTAGCTGAGCTTTCTCAGTACAACATTTTTTGCAAGAACCCTTATCCATAAAAAGTAATATACCTCTTGCTAGAATGCCATATTTCCCTCTCCTTTTGCCTGATTGAGAGGAATGCCAGGCCATCTGTGTTTACCCATTTGGCATGTTTTGTTCTTGAATCAGTGTACATTATTTTTCATTTAAACTTTCATTTTGAGATCTTTTTTTACTACACGGCCTGTTTTCCATTTAAGATGTTAAATTTTGAGATCGTAATTTTGCGGCATTACTTGTTCCAGTTCCTATCCGAACATGTTACAGTTTACATCACCTAGGAATGCAAGACGACCAAGGATTCAGAGCTTCAATTATTTTTATCTGCATTTTTAGGCCAAGGAGGATTTCAGGATAATGTACATCCATACATGGTTCTGAACATTCTGAACATGACTTGTTGGCAAGCTGTGTTTCAAATTTTGACTGCTAGCACAGTAGCACTGGATAGCTTTCCTTGACTGTTTGCTTCCATCATTTTTCTATCTTCACCTGTACAATAGTATCCAGAAATTTCTGAACTACCTGCACGAATCAATATACCATATCGTTGGTCTAGTCCAAAGCATGTACAGCATCTCTTATGCAATAAAAAAAATACTCCTTGGCCACATAACCTGAGCTTTGATTAGAAAACATACAGACTTCCAGAACTCAGGAGTAACAAACAACTTCAGTTAAGAAAAAAACAGAGAACGAACTTGTTCCTTTGATGTGAATACTTGCAATTTCTATTTCTGACTTCATGTCTCCATATTTACATCATTCAGAAGAAGAAAAATGAAAAAGATTAACTCTACATAATTTGTCAGAAGCTAGAAGCTGCTACTTGTTGGACAAATCCCAAGGATTGTGCAAAGCCACTCCCATAGTGGCAAGGCTTCACAATGGTGCTCAGGAATGCCCTGACAACTTCTTCTGATGCATTTCTTTTGAGCAAGCACATGACATACTCCATAACCTCTGCATCACAAGGCAATGTGATCCCTCCATCGCTTGTGAAGCCGAACTCCTCCTGAGAGATCCTGAGGAGCTCTGCGAAGATCGTCGTGGCGAGGAACGCCAACGGGACCTCGAACCGCCTCCCATCGGCGGTGTACATGATGCAATGGCCCTTCACTGCCACAGAACTGCAGCATTTATCGGTTGCTTTGGGCGCCGTCCATGTAAGTCTCTTCCTGCCGAAGGCTGCCATTCTTTGCCACTTCTTCACCATTTGAGCGAGTCTCTTGGCACTGATCATGGTTGCTCTCTTTCTTTCTTGCCTGAAATTTTTTGTACGAGGTGGTATTCAGCTAGGAGTTGTGTTTAGCTTGTGGATGAAGTGGTGGTTCTAAAATGATGGATTTATAGGTGAGGGGAAAGAGAGGCATGAGGTTTAAGTGCAACTATCAGTGCAAGCTGGCAAAGGACACTGCCATGAGCTCAGAACATGCAATGTTTCAAGGCCAGGAATGTGGTTCTGATTAGATTTCTCTAGGGCCATCAGTTAAGTACATGCTTGAGCCATACCACAAAAATAGTTCGTGGATGTATGGACACCACATTGTGTGGCTATACTGACCTGTTTTGGTGTCCAAGACGCATGCCTCATGAGGACCGCATGTAGCCTGGGTCCATATTTCAGGGTCAGTGCCATTTCTGAGTCTGCAATGAGATATCAAATATATTAGGTATTTAATTGTATCATGTTTAAAATATCCAAAAGTGGCCCTTGGTTGAGAGGACTTCATGCCCATAACGCGTTTTTCCTGAACTGCCAGATTAAATGCATTCAGTGGTCTAAAAAAATAAGAATTTTCTCAACAATGTCACATTGCCTGTTTAGAAGATGGACTATTTGGCTAGCAACATCTCATGTGAACTCCATTTCGTTGTTTCTTCCTATACTTTTTCCCATAGAGCAATTTTACGGTTCTTGAGGAAATATCATGAGGTACCACTTTTTCTATTATAAATTTGGTATCTCTTGGTACCTAGGTACTGTGAGGTACCAAATTTTACACTAAATTTTTGGTACCTCATGGTATCTTCTCAAGGACCGTAAAATTGCTCTTTTCCCATATGACCTCCAGGACTAAGACTCGCTGGTGCTATCATTGAGTTAGGATGGTCCTACTGGACCAAGTTTATCAATAAGACTTGAGTCAATCATATATCTTTCTGAGACATAGCATGAGAGCTGTTAATTTCATCCATTGGATGAAAAACTTACAGGGGAGAAAAAAGGATAAAGAAAATAATAAAGGAAAGAAAAGAGTGGCTCCAACACAATTGTGAAGCCCCTATCGTCGTTTATTTTCATCAATGTTTGCCACGTAAATTCCTAGATATATATTTTATTCAACATTAAGAAAATCTTTAAAAATTCATCAATGGATAATTCAGTTAGCAAACTGCTCGCATCGTATCTGTAACACCTAACAGGGAAAACGATACTGATAAGAATAATCAGCGGAAAATACTCTTCGGGAAAAAAATGTTGAACTGGACTGTTAGGAAAAGTTTGTATCTTTGTCTCATATCTTATAATCCTGATAATTTACATCGGACTGAACAAAAACCATACATACTATCTGCAAACAGCAAATTGCTGATTGAGTCTCATTGGTGGAACCACACAACTAGTGTTATGACATGGCCTAACTATGGAACTCAGGAGTGCCCTCTAAACCTCCTCAGAGGCGTCTCTCCTAATCAAACACATCACGTACTCCATCACTGCGGCATCATAGGGCAATGTGATTTTGTAGTCGCTTGTGAAGCCAAACTCCTCTTGAGACATCCTTAAGAGCTCACAGAAGACCACCGTGTTGAGGTACATCAGTGGAACCTCGAACCTTGCCCCATCAGTGGTGTACAACACGCAATGGCCCTTATCTGCAACATACACTGTGGCTGTGCTGCAGCATCCATCGATGTTTGCAGTCTGCCGCCCACTGGATGCCACCATCATCTGCCACTTCTTGGCCAATTGAGCAAGCTTCCTTGAACTGATCATGATTCTGTTGTGTTCTTCGCTAAATGAACTTTTGTTCTGAAGGTGTGAATTAGAGATGCTTAGATTGCTATGCTGTTTGCAGATGAAGTGGTTGTGTTGAGAAGGCGATGGATTTATAGGTGAAGAGAGGCCAGTGCATGGGCAACCCAAGTGGAGGGCGGGACCAGAGGAGACAAAGCCATGAATGTTGCCGTGTAATTGTTGCAGTAGGAGACGGTGAGGACATTTTAATGTGACCGGCTGTTAGCTGAGTGGTGGAGCCTCTGCAACTAGTTTGATGATTGGCGATGTACTGTAGTACTGACTTGAAAACTAGGTAGCCTTTAAGCATCAGAACCTATGGACCAACCAGCCAAATGGTCATGTCCCCTTTGTACTGTGGTGCCCAGAACTGGTAGAACCCTCAGCTAGACTGGATGCTCCTATCCGAGCCATCTTGATCATATGGGTGTTCATTCCAGGCAACTTGCTGCAATATCTAGAGTTTTCTGTTTTTAGTTTCACCAGCATGCCATACCATTCATCATTGATTCAGTCCATGTTCTTTGGTCTGCATAGTTTCCGTGGGCATTGCCTGGTTTCCAGTTTCTGCAATACCTAGAGTTTTATGTTTGTAGTTTCAGCTGCAGCATGTCATAGCATTGAATCATTCATTCAGTCCATGCTTCTTGGTCTGCATAGTTTCTATGGGCATTGACTGGTTTCAGGTTTCAAGATAGTTAAGTCGTTGTCATCGTCAAATAAGACAATTGATATTTTTTTAGCGAAATACTTTGGAAGTGCTAATTTGTCATAAAAAATAAATAGTAGACTTTACTAATATATCAATAAAGCAGGATGGAGAGTAATGAATAGGATTTTTAGTGAACTATATAGGAGTGGTACAGTCTGAAACAGACTTGAGTATAGTAGACTGAATAAACATTCAGCTAGTGCGGAGGTAGAACCGTAAGGGCGACTATTGCTAGGGAGAAGGAAAAAACATATTGAGATGCAATAATGAGTATATCCTTGTTCGGAAACCGCATCAGAAATTCAGAATCAACCTATGAATGTATGTTGAAACCAAAGCATGAATTGAAAAAAAAAATGACATCTTTGAGAGGTAACAACTTACAAGCAATGGAAAGAAGCAACTTTGGTTCGTCAGAAGACGATGAAATTCTGCGTGTATACAGCAAATAACCTGTAGGCAACAGTCCTAAAACTTCAGTCTTTTGGGCAGAAGTTCTCCATTATGCTCATAGTAGTAACATACTAACATCTTGGATATGTCTGATGGTCACTTCAGGTATAAAATCTCTCTCTATCATATATCACCATCTGATCCTGCACTTTAACACCTAGAAGAAGAAAAAACAGGAAAATTAGGGAACTACTATTACTCTATTAGAGAGATCCTTCTTTGCGATTTCAGAAAGCGTCCACTATATACCCCAAAGCTTAAACAGGTTACAGGTGCAATACAACTAATCAGCATACCAGCGACAAATCTCTGCATTCACCGCTACAAATAAACAATCTAAATTGATCAAAATCGTTTTCTATGCCCTAGACCTGAGTCGAGCTGATGAGATGCCACGAGCACACTTCCGCGGACGCTGACACCCCACCCAGCCCACCGTCAATCGGGCTCCCCAAATGCCAGGGAGGAGCAGAAGAATCCATCATGGTAGCTGGAGACGGAGCCCCATGATGGCCAGCAGCGGTGAGAGCTGAGAGCAAATAGTGGCCCTCAAAGAACCACCTTGATGGATGAAAAGGTAATTCAGGGTAATTCTAGTTCCTTTTTTCTGCAAATGCTCCGCTCAAATCAATCTGTACCATTCGATGTTTGATCGGAAGGTCCTCAACAGAGGAGCTCACCTCTTCCAGAATGTACAGACACCCAAGAACCAACGAGTTCAGACTTCAGACAAGAAAGAAAGTGCTGGTATTTTTGTATGATCTGAATAATTAGTTTTCTTGTAGTAATCCTACATTTTACATGAGTAGCTATGTACAAACAGCTAGTTGATGGTTGAGCACTCCGACATTGTGGCATGGCATCGCCATGGAGCACAAGAACGCCCTCTCAACCTCTTTAGAGGCATCTCTCCTAAGTAAGCACATGACGTACTCCATAACAGATGTGTCGCATGTCAACGTGATCCTCCCATCTTCGCTTGCAAAGCCAAACTCCTCATGAGACATCGTCAGGAGCTCGCCAAAGACTGCCGTGCCAAGGTACGGCAATGGCACCTCAAACCGCGCCCCGTCGGCAGTGTACACAGCGCAGTGGCCCTTACCGGCAAGAGATGCAGTGCTGCAGCAATCGTGGCTGGTTCCTGCCGTGTGCCGGCCACTGCCGGCTGAGGCTGACACCATCTTCTGCTGCAACTTCCTAGCCAACTGAGCAAGCTTCTTTGCATGGATCATGGTTCTGCCTTGTTTTTGGCGAAATCAACTGCACTTTGTTGATCAGAGGCTTGGTTCTTGGATTGCTAGTATCTTGTTTGTGAATGAAGTGGATGTGTTCAGCTGGCCAAAATTTATAGGAGAAAACTGAAGAAGGAAAGATAGTGATGGGCCAGGAGACATGGCCGTGAGTGGTGTTTGTACGTGCAAGGTTGCTGGATCAATGAGATTTTGATTAGACTGACATGGGATCGGCTGCTTGGTGAACATTTGAGCGGTGAGTGATGGAGCCAATGCAAATTGCTGGATGATTAGCGATCTACTGTAAGCATCGCCCATGGCCAAGTGTTTGGGAGTTGGGACCTCCATATCACTATATACATCTGAATCGTGTTTGTTGCATGAGGAACTGAAAGAGCCCCCACACACACGGCTTGTCTTGTGTTCAGAACGGTAGTTAATCCAGGCAACCTGTGTGTCCAGGGCATTGCTCTGGAAATCTGGATCGGTCCATTTTAGTTCCGCTTTTGTAGCATGCGTGTCTTGTGAGTTGCAAATGATTAATTCAATCCATGGTTTCGTTGACAGCTGGAATTTTTCGCTGCCCCTGGTTTTGGCACTGAAAGAGGATGGTTTTGAATAATCCTTGTTATCTGACGACGATTTATCGCCAGCAGATGTTCAATCCTTGCAACTTGCTGCAACATCTCAAGTTTTCTGTTCGTAGTTTCATCATTGATTCTGTCCATGCTTCTTGGTCTGTATAGTTTCTTCCGGGCATTGACTGGTTTCAAGTTTCAGGTTTCAACACAGCTAAGTTGCCATCATCGTTATCAAATAGGACAATTGATTTATTTAAAGCGAAATATAGGAAACTTTGGAAGTGCTATTTTTTCATAAAATATAGATAGGAGACTTTCCTAATATATCAACAAAGCAGGATGGAGAGTAATGAACAGGATTTGTAGTGAACTATATAGGACAGTCTGAAACAGACTTGAAATATAGTGGAGGAGTAGAACCCTGAAGGCGACTATTGCTGTGGAGAAGGAAACAAATAGCAATAATGAGTATATCCTTGTCTGTAACATCGCATGTCAGAAACTCAGAGTCTGACCATGAAGTGTACTTAGGTTGAAATCAAGCATGAATTGGGGGGGAAAAGGAGACATCTTTGAGAGGTAACAACAACTTACCAGCAATGGAAAGGGGCACTTCCAGTGCATAATCTCTCCTTATCATATATCACCATCTGATTCTGCATTTTAATACCTAACAGAAGAAAAAAAAGAAAATTAGGGGAACTACTATTACTCTATTAGAAAAATCCTAATTTGCGATTTCAGAAAGTATGCACTATATGCCCAAGCTTAAACAGGTGCAATACAACAAATCAGCAAATTATCGACAAATATTTACACACACCGTTACAAATAAACAATATAAATCGATCAAATTTTCTACCGATTAGAGCATTCATTTCGATCCAAAACCCTCACCAGAACATGGGGAGAGGTGCGCGCTAGAGTCGACACGATGAGATGCCGCGAGCACACTTCCGCGTACGCTGACGCCGCGCCCATCGCCGCCGTCAGGCGGGCTCCACGTCGGTGGCCGCATTGTGGGGAACGGAGTCCCAGCGGCGGCCGCCGGCGGCGGCGGCGAGAGCAAGCAAACACTAACCCTCACCGTCGTGGATGAAAAGATAATTCTGGGTAACTCGAGTGGCTTATCTGCAAAAAGACTCCAGACTTGAGACTTCTCCGCTCGAATCGATCTGTACCGTGCGATTCTGATCGGAAGGTCATCAATACAGGAGTTCGACTCTGACGAGTTGAGAATTCAGATTTCAGACTTTTTGAGTTCAGAGTTCAGACACGAAAGCAAGAATTTCGACAGGAAAATTGTGCTACTTTTGTATTATCATCCGGATGAGTTTACATCAGGAGCTAGGAGCTAATGAGCTAAGTACAAACAGCAAATTGGTGGCTGATTACTCCGATATTGCGGCAGGGCCTCGCCATGGAGCTCAAGAACGCCCTCTCGACCTCTTCAGAGGCATCTCTGCTAAGCAAGCACATGACGTACTCCATCACCGACGCATCGCACGGCAACGTGATCCTGCCGTCGTCGCCGGCGAAGCCGAACTCCTCCCGGGACATGGTCAGGAGCTCGCCGAAGAGCGGCGTGCCTAGGTACGGCAATGGCACCTCGAACCGCGCGCCGTCGGCGGTGTACACCGCGCAGTGGCCCTTGCCGGCGAGGGATAGAGACGCCGTGCTGCAGCAATCATCGGCGGCGACCACCGCCTTCTGTCGGCTACCACCGGCTGATGCCATCCTCATCTGCAACTTCTTGGCCAACTGAGCAAGCTTCTTTGCACTGATCATGGTTGATTTGCTAGCTTTTTGGCTAAACTAGATGCAGTCTGGTTGATCTGAAATTGGATGCTTAGATTGCTAGTATCTTGTTTGTGAATGAAGTGGGTGTGTTCAGCTGGCCAAGAATTTATAGGTGAAGATTGATGAAGGTAATGTTCAAGTGTAGCCATCAGCCTGACAGCCTATCACCACAAGTGATGGGCAGGAGAGACAATGCCATGAGTGATGTTTGTATGTGCAGCGTTGCACATTTCATTGAGATATTGATGAGATTTCCATGGGACCAGCTGTTTGGTGAAAGGCTGAGTGGTGAGAGATGGAGTGAGTTCAACTTGCTGGGATGATTGGCGATCGCATCGTCCTTCATGGCCCAGAGTCTGGGACCTCACTATCACTACGCATGTCTGAATTGTGTCGTTGCATGAGGAACTGATTCATTCAACCCATGGTTTTCTTGTCTGAATATGTTTTGGCGCCCCTGGTTTTGACACTGAAAGAAGACGCCTGAAATTGCTGAACCATGACGTCATCTGATGGCAATGCCGGGATGGCCAAAAAAATGGCGGGAAACAAAGACATTTGAGAGGATTCATACATAGTACTCCTATTTGGCGAGTTGTGTTAAGAAGGAAAGGGTCGTCTGCACCGTGTATGCTTCAGACTGCCGCTGTTCGTAAAACTGAAAAATAAAATTAAAAACTAGATAATGCGTGAAAACGGAAATGATACACTAGTTAAGGGAAGTGTCAAAATAAAACTAGAAAGCTTGAGGTTTATGCTCGAACGATTCAAGGTCGGCCAAGCGTCCTCTTCTCGGTCTATCAGTTACAGAGTTTGTAAAAAATGGAAATGATATGCAAATAAAGGCAAATGCCAGATTGAATTTAGGCCCTCTTTGTTTAGGCTTAAGCTTATTGGCCTAGACTTTTAAGTCAGCTTATTGGCTTATATGATTTATAAGCCAGTGGATTTAGGCCCTGTTTCTTTCAGATTGGGATTATTATAATCTAGATTATTGAGTCAGATTACTATAAACTAGATTGTTATAATCTGTAGTAGAATAAGTGGTTAGTTGTTTCTTTCCTAGATTATTAGAGTCTAGATTATTGGGTTTGCAAGTCTAAAGAGAGAATGGGGTGGCATGGTGGGTAATTTTTTTCCCAATAATCTGGAAAAAGCTCACCTAAATGAGCTTATCAGATTATAATAAAGCTACTTCAATAAGTTATATGTTTCTTTCATCTTACTCCCAATAATCTTGATTATAATAATCCCAAGCTAAAAGAAACAGGGCCTTAATATCCTAAGTTTAGTGGTGAAGTCATACATCTATCTCATATAAGCCAAAAAAAACTTCTCCAGCCTAGCTTTTGGCTTAATAGTGTTAGAGTGGCTTATGACTTCAAAAAAGCCAAATGAAAAAGCTGCTTGTTTGTTTTGGCTTAGACTTTTCGACTTATAAGTTGGCTTATAAGCCTAAACAAAGATAGCCTTAGAAAGGTTGAGGCTTATCTTTGCCTATCCATCCGAACATAGATCAGCTAGCTAGCCTTGGTCACTCTCCCTTTTTGTCAAACTGAGTTGGAGTTCATCTCGTAGTTTAATTTTCCATTTGAAGATCACCCGGAACCTATAAATTCAGAGCCACAGGATCCGTTGTCAAACCACATCGATCAAGTCCAGATTCATCATTAGCTTCATCGACGATCAACACCAGAAAACACACAATCCGCCGCATTGCAAACAACCAAACCAAGCTAGAGAAGAGATCCATCAGCAACTTCGTGATCATATGGCTATCCTGGATAGCAACCCGCCGCCCGCCGCCGATGCCGTCGTCGCAGCAGACGGCTCAGGCGACTACACCACCATCGCCGCCGCTGTCGCAGCCGCGCCGTCGAAGAGCACCAAGAGGTATGTCATATACATCAAGAAAGGAACTTATAACGAGCTCATCACCATCGGCCAGAACACATGGAATCTGACGCTGATTGGAGACGGGATGGATGTTACAATCATCACCGGGAACCAGAGCGTGGGCGGCGGCGTCTCGTCGACGTCCAAGACGGGCACCGTCAGTAAGTGGCATTTTCTTCTTGGATTCAAATGTACATTGTACACATTATGTCTCATTTTCTTTGTGAATAAATGTAACAATGTATATATGTGTGCAGCTGTTGATGGCATTGGCTTCGTCGCCATTGATCTGACCATCGAGAACACGGCCGGAGCAGAGAACGAGCAGGCGGTGGCGCTGCTGTCCAACTCCGACGCCTCGGCGCTGTACCGCTGCGGCATCAGGGTGTACCAGGACACGCTGTACGCCAAGAGCAACAGGTAGTTCTACCGCGACTGCCGCATCTCCGGCACCGTCGACTTCATCTTCGGCGACGCCACCACCGTCTTCCAGCACTGCGACGTCGTCGCCCGCCTCCCCCTCCGCGGCCAACAGAACACCATCACCGCCCAGTCCCTCGCCACGGCGGCCAGCGCCACCGGCTTCTCGTTCCAGGACTGCAACATCTACGCCGACGACGACCTCCTCCGCGGCGCCCCCGCCGGCGGCGTGGAGACCTACCTCGGCCGGCCGTGGCAGCCGATCCCGGACAGCCCGCCGTTCTCGCGCGTGGTGTTCATGGAGTGCGGCATGTCCGACGTGATCGATCCCAAGGGATGGCTGCCATGGGAAGGGAGGACCGACGTGTCCAACGTCTACTATGGAGAGTACGAGAACACCGGGGATGGTGCTGACGTCAGCGGCCGCGTGAAGTGGACTAGTTTCCACGTCATCCAAGACGCATCGGAGGCGGCCAAGTACACGGTGGAGAACTTCATCCAGGGGGACAAGTGGATTCCGGGGACAGGGGTGTACTTCGAGCCCAGCCATTGATCAATTAATGAATACTCCAAGCTTAACCATAAGTTAGGTCCAGTAGATAATCTATGCTAATACTAATACTAATTTATGTCTAGATCATGGTTTAACTAGTGGATCATTTATACTTAATCTTTATTATGCAACTTAAATATATTCCTTTCATGCATGAGTTTTCTCAAAAGGAAATAAAGAACAAAGGAAATTTCGATGTTGATCGATCAAAATGTCAGGATTTTTATAGGCAGGGAATTGTTTGAGAGTAGCAGCAACCAGTAGATGCAAAGTCGCAAACAGCAGTTGGTAGTTCTAATGGGCGATCGATCGCCCCCCTCCCCCTCCCTCCCTGGTCCCTCCACCTGGTTTTCTTTTTTGGTACCGCATTACTTTTCTATTTTAGTAAATTTATACACCTAAAGTTTATACACCTCAAGTTTACACATCTAAAGTTTAGAGACCAAAAATTTATAAGTCAAAAGTTTATATATCCGATTCAAATTTGAATTTGAATTCAAATATTTTTTATATATAGTATTTCTATACATCTAAAGTTTATACACCTAAAGTTTATAGACCTAAAGTTTATAAGTCAAAAGTTTATATATCTGATTCAAATTTAAATTTGAATTCAATTTTTTTCATATATAGTATTTCTATACATCTAAAGTTTATACACCTAAAGTTTATATACCTGATTCAAATTTGAAGTCGGGTATATAAACTTTTGATTTATAAACTTTGGGTCTATAAACTTTAGGTGTATAAACTTTAGATGTATAGAAATACTATAAATAATATTTGAATTCAAATTTAATTTTGAATCGGATATATAAACTTTTGATATATAAACTTTGGTTCTATAAACTTTAGGCGTATAAACTTTAGGTGTATAAATTTACTAAAATAGGGGAAAGTAATACGGTGCCAAAAAAGAAAACGTGGAGGGAGGGAGGGGGGAGGGGTGGTGATCGCTACCCCATCGCGCATTAGTGTTTCCGGCAAACTGCACGCAAATTCTTTAGTTTTAGCGTTCGGAAATAATCAAACGAATTCGCTAGCGATTCAAATACAGTACGAATCTGGTGGCAATTCGACCTAGCCTTTCAATATGGGCTGAAATTCACCGTCTCCGCGGAACGTATGGGCTTTTGTGGCGGCCCATTTCCTCTGTTCGGGCCAATAAAGTCCAGAATATCTCCTACCGCGAGTCCGCGAGATGTGTTGCCGCGACGTTCAGAGTTGAGAGTTTCAGGCATGGATGAAAGGCTACTGCCAGGACAACTCGTGACGCTAATTTTCTGCATCATGGATCTTATGTAATGTACAAACAGCAAATTGATGGCCGAACACTCCGACATTGTGGCAAGAACTTGCCAGTGAGCTCAAGAATGCCCTAGCTCTCGACCTCTTCAGAGACATCTCTCCTAAGCAGACACATGACATGCTCCATCACCCAAGCATAGCTCGGCAACGTGATCCTGCCATCATCGCCTGCGAAGCCGAACTCCTCCTCGGGCATGTTCAGGACGAGGTACGGCAATGGCACCTCGAACAGCTCCCCGTCGGCGGTGTCATCCCCATGTCGTCCTTCTCATGGCACTATCAGTGTCACAGTGTCAGCTCGAGTTCATTCATCTGCAAACGAATCATGGGCGTGCTTAATTGTTCTTGGCTGCAAGCCTGCAAATGATTAATTCCAAACCATAGGCTTGCTTTGTCTGGGCTGTAGTTCTGTACTACGTGTTGCACTTTTGTTGATATGAGGCTGAATGCTTAGAGTTATGCATGGTATGTTGTTTGTGAATGGAGTGGATGTGCCAGGAATTTATAGGTGAAGGTTGAATAAGGAAAGATCAAGGTTTAATTAAGTGTAGCTACCAACACAAGTGATGGTTAGAAGACAAGTCCATAGATGTCACTATGTCTGAAACTCTCTGAATAGTGTTTGTTGCATGTGTTCAGGCTTCACAACACGGCGGTGGTTGATGCAGGCAACTTCAATTCGATCGGTTTTTAATTGCACTTTTGTACGCAGCATGCCCAGGGCATTGCTCTTCATCGGTGGGTTTTACTTGCAACTACGATTAATTTCAATCCATGGTTTCGTTGTCTCGACTGTACGTCAGAAAGGGTTCGGAGTTCTAATCTCCGAACCAGCCGAATTTTTTTTTCCAATTAATCCATGCCACTCAAAGCTCATCCAGCCAGGCACACCATGCTCATGTCATGGCGCTGTCAGTGTCAGCTCAAGGTCATTCATCTACTGGAGTATTAATCTGCAAACGAAGCATAGGCTGCAACTTGCATATATGTCATGGTCATTACTCTGGATCGATCGATCAGTTTTAATTGCAATTTTGTAGTAGTCTCTGTAGCATGCCCAGGGCATTGTTCTCCAAGTCTCGATTGATCGATTTTGCTTGCAGCTATATGTACATGTATCATGCATTTCTTGAGAGTTTGCTAATGATTAATTCCATTCTATGGTTTAAGTCTTGAGAGTTTGTAATCGCGAGAATAGGCTTAAGTCCTTGTTTTCCTCTTTTTCCTCCTTTTCTTCCTAACCCCCTTCTTTTCTTTGTTTTGCCTTTCGTGTAAATTTTATTTCTTTTAATACAAAAGTGCGCAATCCTTTTGCGTATTCCCGAAAAAAAATTCCATTCTATGGTTTGCTCTACGTGAGTAAATTCGGATTCCTTTTTGAGCGAGGGCAAAGGGGGTCCGGAGTTTTAATCTCCGGCCCCCAAAGGCCGATTTTTTTTCTCGTTTTTTTCTTAGCGAGGGCACGGGGATGATTAGATATAGATTGTCATTATCAATCAACAAGAAAAAGTGCCAGATGCCGGATGTGATGCGCGCTCCCGATTTACTGCGCCGGCGGCTGGCCGTCGCGCTCAGTTTGCCCTCTTTTTCTCGTGTCCCATCCAAAACTGCCAGCGACAATGCAGACTGTCAGGTCGAGATCATACTCCCTCCGTCTCAAAAAAAAAAGGCAAACCCTGATTTTCGTGTCCAACGTTTGACCGTTCGTCTTATTTAAAAAAATTATGAAAAAAATTAAAAAGACAAGTCACGTATAAAATATTAATCATGTTTTATCATCTAACAATAATGAAAATATGAATTATAAAAAAATTTCATATAAGACGGATAGTCAAAGTTGGATACGGAAACCCAGTGTTTGCCTTTTTTTGGGACGGAGGGAGTAATGTACTCCCTCAGTTCCAAAATATAACCACTTTTAAAATAGTGCTTAGTCAAATAATTTTAACTTTGACTTTTGATAGTGAAAAAGTTAAAAAGGATCGATCACGTGAGAATGATAGTTCCTAGATTTATCACTAAACAAATTATGCTACTCCATTTATTCAAAATAACTTATTTTTGTAAATACTGTTAGTCAGATGGCATCTCAAAAGACTGTGTCGAAGTTTAAAAAAATACTTATATTTTCGGACAGAGATAGTGCTAAGCTAGCAATCTCTGCAAAGGAATCGCCTGTCAGAAAACAAGAGTACGTTGTTGATCACTTGTCAGAAACACAAGAAACCCCGCGCCATGGCCATGATCAGCTGAGCTCGCTGCTGCCAACAAGCTCACCCGGATGGGCGTCCGGCCGATAGCACATCTTTGTAACGCTACTATACTACAATCTTCGTCCCAAAACATAAGAACATAAAACCAGATGGGACATACTTTTCAGATTCATAATATTAAGAAATGTCCAATTTAATTTTATGTTTTTATATTTTGGGACGGAATGAGTACATGATACTTACAAGTTGATTTGGATACATGAGTGCATCTTGCATCTGGTATTGTGATACCCTGTCCTGGATGACCAAGCAAATTGTCAGGCAATAGCAAAATACAGCCTTGAAAAAAGTTGCACACAGGTCACTTCAATAAAACTAGGGACAACAACCTGACTAGACTGAACTTTCATGCTAAAACCGACGGCTTGACGAATACCACCAACTGGATGTAGACCAATTGGAAAACGTACGGAATATACCCAACCAACGACAATAGATGTCACACGTGCGATGCTACACAAATCAAGATACAAACAAACTGCTACAAACTGAGATATGGAAACTGTCTGTCGAGCAAGCTGTGTTGCGTGCAAGAATAAAGGCACTCCAAACCACGGCCCATATGCGATTGCAATTTCAAGTGCAGTGACTACACAGCAAAAGGCAGGAAAACGAACCCTGAATCGATCTGCTCAGGAAGATTCGACGAACCTTCGTCTTCAGATGTCTGCAATCAATCACAGGGAGAAAAACAGTTAAGGTTGTCAAATCATTTTAGAAATGATATGATTGCTTTTGAACAAACACGAACCAGCTTGCTTATCTCCAAATATCTTGATACAGGAAGGTGAGCTGAATAGTTAGTGAATTTAGCACATCCATAAAGGCTGGACCTTGGATGGTTGCATAAAACCTCTGCCCAGTTCAGCAGCAGAGACTGTAGCATGTATCTGATAGAACAGCTACTAATCCACTACCATTGCTTCCCCAGTGCACCAAGTGATGGCCCCAGCAAAATTCTAATCTGAATCTCGCTGCCTCCCGTTGGGGACACCATTGCACGCATCAAGCCAATGGCCTTGTCCCCTGCAAATGTTTATTAGTCATATAGAACGAGATGTAGACTCTCTCTATGCCTATATATATTCTTGAGATTGCAAGAAAGACACCATCACTGAGTCCAAAAAGTCACAAGGCTAAGCATTTCCTAAGCAACATACCTTAGATTCTGAGAACCAAAGAACAACCAGAACCAGCCATGATACATTCCAAGAGGCTTGCTCAGCTGGCGAGGAGGCTGCAGAGGGTCAAGACGACGGCCGCCAGGGAAGACGACGCCTGCTGCACGACTTCTCCGGTTGCAGACAAGGGCCGTTGCACCATGTACACGGCAGACGGGAGGCGGTTCAAGGTGCCATTGCCGTACCTCGGAACAACGGTCTTCGGCGAGCTCCTGAGGATGTCACAAGAGGAATTCGGGTTCGCCGGTGATGGGAGGATCACACTGCCCTGTGATGCGGCCGTGATGGAGTATGTCATGTGCTTGCTGAGGAGAAATGCATCGGAGGATGTTGAGAGGGCGTTCCTGAGCTCTGTAGTGATGTCTTGCCAAGATTCAAGCTGTGGAGTGCCACCTGTGGCCTTGCACCAACAATTTTCAGTTTGTAGCTCCTGAAGATATACAGAGTTTTGCGCTGTTTACTGTCCTTTTTTCCCCCTCTTGTCCAATAGTAGCGAAAAATAGTTAATACACGACAATGGAAATGAAGTATTGGCAGACCAGCATTGAATAGTATAATATACTTCACATATTCTTTTTATGTTAATGGCATTGAGCATGACTGCATGAACTAACATTAGGCCATAGAGAATGAGGAACCGATTCATTTCAAACTCAGGCTTTAATGTACAGATTTTACACCATAGAAGCTAAGGGGCGCAATTACCATTTAGAGGTGTGCTGCTATGCTAAAATGAATCACATCTACCCCCGAATAAATTGTATTTGTTAATGGAATGCTGATTGGTGCACAGCAAACTACTACTGCTTTACAAGTTTGCTATTCTACAGTTTTCTTATCTATGCAGTTCTTTAAGAATTTCATATATAGTGTGGAATCAGTCGTTACAATATCTGAAGTTGTTCTTCAAAATGCAACAAACCAATTAGTCAGACAATATATACCAGCACAAAATACAAACATGCTGTATGATTTGCATGCTGATATTCCATTTTAGAGTATGTTCAGGTTGAGCAAGAGAGAGGGCTAGGCATAGAGGGTCTACCCGTTGCGTGACCCTCGCGTCGCCCTCACGCGGGCGACTAGGGGGAGAAAACCCTAGCCGCCCGCGCCGCCACCTCGCCGGCCTCTAGCCGCCTTGCCGCCGCCGGAGCCAGCCGCCGGAAACCGCGCGGCCGGCCGGGAAGGCGGCGGCGGGGAGAACATCCTCGGGGAGCCCTTCCTCGGCGTTGGAGGCGGAGCAGCGTCGACGGGGCGGTGGTCGACGGAGGCGGCGGTCGATGGAGGTGGCTGCGACGGATCCGGGCACGCCGGAGACGGATCCGACCCCCCCGGGCGCGGATGTGGCCGATGACGGTGCTCTGCGTCCGGCTGCCAGTAGAGGCGGGCAGCGCGTCGGCTGCGGCCGGCGAGCGGAGGTGGTGGCAGCTCGCGGCGACGGCGGCCGACGGAGGCGCGCGGAGGTGGCTTCCGCTGTGCAGCGGCGGAGCTCGTGCGGAGGTGGCTGGCCGGCGACGGCGGAGGCTAGCGGCTGCGGAGGCCAGCACCGTGGTGGAGGCGCTGCGGCGGCCGGCAGCACGCGTACGGCCAGGCGTGTGCGGGGTGGCTATCACCAGCGTTGAGCAATGCGGCTGAGCTCCCTCGTCGCCGTGGTGGCCTATGCGTGGCTAGGTGAGGCAAGGAGGCCGGACAAAGGTGGCGCCGGAGCCGGAGCGGCAGCGTTTCCGGCGTCGGCGCAGGCCTAGATGGTAGTGCAAAGGGAGCTGGCGGCAGTGGGTCGTCTTCCTCGTTGCCGGTCGGCACCCTCGCCCTTCTTAGAGCTCCTCCCCTTTTTTGTGGGGAGTTTCTAGGTTGGATTGAGGCGGCAGCTTGTCAACGGGGGAAGCCCAGGTTGCTGAAGCAATGCCACCCAGTCCAGGGTTCTCCTTTGGCCAGATTTGGCGAGGAGACTGGCGGGTGGTGGATCGGAAGGTTCGTTGAAGTCAGTCGATGGCGGGGCGTTGGTGCTGTGTGGTGGCAGTCCTGTCGTTGGCAGGACTGGAAGCTGGCCGGCGGAGGGGCGTCGGTCAAGTGTGGCGGAAGCCATGTGCCGCCGATGTTTAAATGGTGGTTTCGGATTGGGCGACGGACCACGGCGGTAGAGGGTTCCGAGCGAAAGCTTAGCCCAATTTCTTTGGGCCAACAGTGACTTCGCCTTCAGGCGTGGTAACCCTCCTGAGGGCACTGTTGAGGTACCCATCCTCCCTCAGCAAGGAGCTCTGGGTGAAAACCTTGTCCAATTCCTTGGACGGATGACGACGGCGTCTTTCGGCGTCGCAACCCTCGTGAGGGCGTCGTTTTAGAGTATTCGTGTCGTGGTGGTGTTGTTGGCCCGGTGGCGATCGGTCTCGCATAGCGATGGCCGGTTCGGTGCTTGGCTTCCCTCTCTGTAGCGTGTGTTTGGGCGGTTGGCATATGGTTCGGGGCGTGTGCTCTAGTGCACATCTTTCCTCGACAGCCAGCTGTCGATGTAAAACTTTTCTTCCTATCTTAATTACATTGAAAAAAAAAAGTATGTTCAGGTTATCGTTGGTAACAACCACAAATAATATCATAGGAAAAAGTGCAGATACTATGTACACCAGAAAGTACGATCGCCACCAGAACTTGACTGAACCCAGAATACAGTGTGTGCAAAAGGAACCTCCACTTGAACATAAAATTGGCTATATGCTGAAGTTGGATAGCTGATAGGCCAATAGTCTGCCAAGAACAAAATGCAGGGAGAATCTATGGATTGTAAACCACAGAGATTTATAAATCAAAGAACCAAACAGCAGATATGGAAGTGATAAAGGAAACAAGATAAAGGCAGGATTGCAGGAAAAATATATGGTCTTGTAGACCACAGATCAGAATCAAGCGATGAACAGCAAATCTTAAATGAGTAAAAAGCGCCAGATGCCAGATAAATTGATTTATTTTTAAAGAAACTACGTTAGGCTGTGCAGTCAGGTTAGTTGCAGCGGTGAACCAAATATAAAACAAGAACCCATATCAATTTGAGATCTCTTACTTGGACGTTTAGTATTTTATCAGAGGATTTCAGTACTTAACAAACCTTGGGAATAAAGTTTGAAAACCAGCTCACTTCTCTGTGCAGTAATCCTGAAATAATTCTTGATAAAATGTTAAAAATGCATTCTGTCCACCTCAATACAATGTATAACCCGTTACAAATGTAAAAGCAATAAGTAGGAAACTGGCTACCATAATGAGAAGGATAAGAATGACAGAGAGGAAAGATAAATAGAGCGGACCCCAAAGTGCACAAGTAGGCTAAGAAGCGAAGTGGGAATCGAATTCAATCATGAAGAACGAGATAGCAACATTTAGGAAGATAGAGTACATGGCTTTGTCTCTTGCTAAATAGTCATATTGATGGCTACACACATCAGTAGCTTATGGCTACAATTTTCCATTGTATGCTATATAAGTTCATGAAACTAGTACATGCCACTTCAAACCATCCATAAACTGAAGCACCAATACACTCACAACAAAAGCTCATCTCATCAGAAGAAACACACCATGATCAATCCTAAGAGGCTAGTTCACCTGGCAAAGAAGTGGCAACATATGGCAGCTCTTGGGAGGCGGAGGCTGACGATAACGGGAGCAACTAAAGAAGGCAACCTACGCTGCTCATCAGCCATCGCAGATAAGGGCCACTGCATCATCTATACAGCTGATGGAGAGCGATTTGGGGTTCCATTGACATATCTGAGTACAACTGTGTTTGGCGAACTCCTAAGGTTGTCTGAGGATGAATTTGGATTCACAGGTGAGGAAAAGATCACACTTCCTTGTGAGGCAGCAGTGATGGAGTATGTGATGTGCTTGCTTAGGAGAAAGCCCTCGGAAGAGGTGGAACAGGCTGTTGTGAGCTCTGTCGTAATGCCATGTAATTACAAGAGTAGCACTAGCATGGTTTCAGTCAATCTTAGCCAGTCACTAGCTATATTTTAGCTACTGAGAAGCACTGTCTTCATGATGTGTGCTCCTTTTTGGTAAATCTTAATGAAATCTAGTGTGTAAATAGATGTATATACCCCAGTAAACAAGTAAAGAAATGTAGTTTTGCAGTTGGTTCAATATTCCAGTATTGATTTTACTTAAGCAACATTCCACTATTGATAATTTGGAGCAACAATGAGGCTATTGTACAGACATGAACTACTTGGTCGGATCAATCCAGGGTTCAAGATCCTATTGTACCAGCGCGTAGTAAATATTTTAGCAAGGTTCTAAACAACTTTTATAGTTTTCCCTCTTAAATTACTCCAGTGAAGGTGAGCAATCCTATGCTACTGAGACTTGAGAGACATGGAAAATGCTGAAAAAAACACCATGGGTCACCTCAGGAATTATCCCCCTCTTAAAATGACTGAAATGAGAAGTAGTTCACTCTTCATTCAAACACATCATATGACAATATACACATGAAGATATACCTTTTTCATTAAAAACACTCCTTATTGATGTCACAGAAAAAGTTTCCAAATGTAAGATCATGTTTTACAATATGTGAAACCAATGTAAGGCCTGAAAATTGAGAATACGTTTTACCTCATATAGTAACTTACAAGTGACAGCGGTAAATCATGGGAGCTTTCAGCTGACGTATTTAAAGATTTAAGATTCCCTGAATGGCTGAATATAACTGCAGGCATAATTTTCTCTCACTTATCCAATGGTCCCTGACTCCACAGAAAGAATTCAAAATTAGATTCCATAAAAAGCGCTTCCCACTAGACTCCACAGAAAGTACTACATAGACAGGACCTAGTAAGCTACTATGAAACTACCAATAATAAACATAACAGGAGTAATGCGATCATTATCCTCTACTCAGGTGAAGAGATTAGAGGTATCCAAGTGTACCACTAAACATCCACACATCCATGCACAGGACAGTATTTACACCATGGCAGGTACAATCCTTGATATGCTTCAGTTTCAGGGCAAGTCAAGAGTTGACTCGTTGAGCTTCATCCTCTGTAATACTCTCTCCGTCCCAAAATATAACAATTTTTAGCACTTAGGATTTGTCCCAAAATATAACAACTTCTCCACCAACATTCCCTTCCCAACCAACCACAACCCACCACCATTCACTTTTTCCACCTACCTCCACTTCTCAACCAATCACAACGCTTTTCTATTTAATTTTACCTGCTTTCTTAATAACCGTGTTCAACTCTAAAACTCTCTATATTCTGGGACGGAGGGAGTACATGAGATAAAACTCAATAGCAATATATAAATTTTGAAAAACCTATACAAAAATGAGTGAATACATAATTATATACAGTTAGGATTTTGGCATTAGGCCCCTGATATGATGCAAGGCACCAGCTCTGCAACTCTGAATGTGAACAGAACCGCTAGCTCTATAGTAGTAGTTTCAGTGTAATAACAATTTTCGCCGGGGAGTGTAATAACAATAAGATGCATGTTCTAGTCTTGTGCTTGAACAAGGTATACTATACACACAAGGCAACTGCCTAACAAAGAAGAAAGATCAAATAGAACCACAGCCAGAAACTCATAGAAGCCATCTTAAACAAGCATATGACATGCACAAGCATAAAGAACACGGAGAGAATGAGAATCAATAGTGAACACACTAGCAAAGCACCAAGTATTAAAACATGTTTTATTTAGTAGAGAAGCCATGACCATAAGAAGCATACCTAGCTTCAACAACTTCTCAGGTTGATAGCACATAACCAACTAAATCAAGTTTTACGTCATGGAAGGAACTGAAACAAAATAAAAAAAAAAGGTTGGGTTTATCGTGATAGAACCAATTTTGCCAAAGACAACGCGAAGAGCTCACAAATAGCAGACTAGTTCATGTTTTCTCAACTCCTACGGCTAGTTATGTACCCACAGGGCACAGCTCCACCACATGTGAAATAGTAATGGCTTGAAATTAGAATTAAGGAAATATTGCCCAGCAAATTAAATCATGCTGCCTCGGTGAGATCTGATTTAGATGTTTATGGCCTTGTCCTTTGCCAAACATGCCAGAGTGACCGAAACTTAACTTCCACATTATATATAAGTACAAGAAAATTGCAACTGGCAAGTACCATAAATCACTTGAAATTTCTATCAAATTTCACCGCACAAATTCGGTCATGATACAATCCTAAACATATAGATCTAGTCCAACTGGCAAAGAAGTGGCGATATATAGCTACTACTGGGAAAAAGTTTACAACTGCTGCAAAGGATAACTACACACTCAAGAATTCAATTGCAGGAAAGGGAAACTGCATCATGCACACTGTTTTTTTTTTTTGAACTTCACCACCGGATTCTTTATTAATACCTGGATTCAGTGGAATCACGAATCACCTTGGCCCTTACAAACTCTGGGAGGGGGTCAACCCACACATAAGATTGATCCGGATCCCAACTCACACCAAGTCGAGCAAGTTCATGCGCAACATTATTACAAGACCGTGGCGCAAAATAGACTTCAAAACTAGGAAACTGAGATTGGAGAACCGTTTTTATCTCAGTGAAGATTGTAGCACCAGTAGCTAAATCATGCGAAGAGGACTTGATTGCCGACACCAACAAATCCGAATCAGACTCAATATCAACCACCGAAACACCTTGCACCAGAATGGCTAATAAAGCTGCCAGACACGCCTTTGCTTCAGCCGAGATAGCATCACTAACAAACTCCAAACGCCCAGCGCCCGCACACAAAGCATGCCCCACCTCATCGCGCAGAACAAAACCCCATCCTCCTGTCTTGCGATCAGCATGAAAAGCACCATCAACGTTGAGTTTAAGTTTTCCCCTTTGAGGCGGTAACCAGCGCTTGATCTCAGTGTTTCCTCTCCGCTGTTCAACAGGCTTCAAAGCAGACAGCTCATGCAACATATTTTTCACTCTAAAGACTACTTCCTCCGGCGAGAAGCCGTGTTCCCCCGCATTGATCTTATTACGAGCAAACCACCAATTCCAGAGAAGCAAAACTACTTCCATACAGCACTCCTCCCCTAGTGACAGAATATGTCGAACCACATCCTTCGCTGAGTTCAGATTCATGAGGTCAAGCCGGATATTCTCTTTCTGTAACAAACTCCAACACAATCTGACAGGCTTACACTTTAGAAAGCAGTGCCCGCCATCCTCATCAAAACGCTTGCATACCAGGCATAGCGTGTCTGCATCAATTCCCCTTTATTTGATATTCATCCTTACAGGGAGACTATTATGTGCCAATCTCCACAGAAAGTGTTTCACACTCGGTATACATTGCAACCTCCATAGTTTGTCCCAAGGAAAGCCCTCTTCGTGACCAATACCTGAAGAATACTCACCTGTTTGTCTAACAGAGGTACGCTCTCGCTGATCCTCCAACACGTGGTATGCAGATTTCACAGAGAAGATGCCCCTTGTGTCATAGTGCCAAGCCGCAAAATCCTCCATATCAGTTCTCACCGGGATCGACAGAATATTGGCAACATCTTCTTCCCAGAAGATATCCCGCACCAAAGAAA